GGAGTCCTATTTAAAAAGCAAATGGTTTTAGAGCTGAAAAAGCAGCGCTACAGCCCTATAGAAAACTTAGCTCCACGTGCTTGTTCCCTGAAGGTTCTAAGTGGAAGAGATGCTAAAATCTGTTCCTGGCATCAATGAGCAGACAGAACTGGCCTTACAAAGAAGCCAAGAATATTTCTGAACTCTGGTGCCAGGACACTGAGGTGCCTCCCACTGGTCTCCCCGTGCCTTCTGTACTCCTGTCTGTGAGCTTCAGTATCTCTTCTGTTTGCACACTCTGCTCTGCTCATCCTGCCTCCAGTTAGCTTCATTCTTCTTTTCCGATAATACGATAACAACTCTCACACCAGTACTTAATATATGCTAGGCTAGGCTGACTCAATGTTGAAATCCAGCTACTTCACTAATCCTCCCAAGAATCCAATAAGGTAGGTGCACATCAGGAACCAAGTGGCTGGAGGTCAAGAAGCCTGTCCAAGGTCACACAGGTATTACACAGAGCCACCTGGATGCAAACACAAATAGCCTGACTCCCGTCCATTGCCAGTTTTTCTCTCCTCTGGCTTCCAGGAAGGCATTTCATCCATGTTGGACCTTGCTGATCTCAAGGCTTCTGGCTCTCAGCATCTAGGCCACAGCCTGCTTTGGGAGGGACAGGCATTGCTACACACTTCTGTTGTAAGGGAACTCAGCTCCCAACCTTCCTCTTCCTCCCACTTCCCAAACTGCTCAGAAAAGGGGGGACCTATTTCTGCCCACTCCCACAGCTTTGGTCAACCTAGGAAGGAGAAGCAAGGCAAATTTCCCCACACCCCGTAGAGAAAGGCAAGGGCAGGGGATGAGGAGGAGGCTCACTCACCTAAAAAGCCAGGCTCACTTTTAGCAACTCATAGCATCCAGTACAGCAGGGCTCCAGTACTCCGGCACTGGGGTGGGGAGGGAGGGGGGAGAAAGGAACAGTCAACTCAGCCCTGGACACAGGCAGCGAGCAAAGCAGGCCACCAGGCCCCGAGCAACCCCTTAGCAGTGAAAGCCCACTGGACGGGACCGTACACACGCGAGCCGACCCCACCCTCCGACCCCGCGCGGAAACCAGGCCAAATCCAGCCTCACACCGTCAGATCTGGGATCTTCACCGGGCCCAACTCCCACACTTGGAGTCAGCGCAGCCCCTGCTGCTGACCTTGGGCAGTGCGTGCCCTCTCCCGGGCCTCAGTTTCCACTAACGTCAGAGTTCCGGGGCAGATGCCTTCCTTTGCCCGAAAGCGTCGGAGCTGTGGCTCGACGCAGGCTTCCTGGGGCCGCTCACGTGCGCTCTGCGGAGGGCCGGGCCCTTAAAGGGACCTGCGCCAGGCAACTTGGGTGCTAGGAGGCAGGGGGGGCGCCGCTTCGCGCCCTCGGCTTCCAGCCCCGGCTCGCCTCCCGGCCTCGCGCACCTCTGCAACTTCTGAGACGCTCTGAAGTTTGTGGTCGAGGCTAGGCGCGCGGCCCCGGGAAGCGGAGCTGAAAGGTGAGCCCCGCCCGTCCCCCCCACCCCCCAGTGCCACTGACCCGGGCCGTGCCCGCACCCGAGGCCGAGGCGGCGGGCCGCACCGAGAGGTCAGCACCGCCTCACCCTCGCTTTCAGGCCCAGGAAGAAGGCCCTGGCGGCTGTGGGCCAGATGCGGTGCAGAGGGCGGCTCCGGCCGCGGGGCCCAGGCGGGAGGGGATGAGGGGAGCCCGGGCCGACACCCCGACGGGAAGGCCTCGCCTCCGGCCCCGCCCTCACCTCAGCAGCGGCCCCGCGGACGCGGACGGGCGCCGGAGCAGGCTGGGGTACAGGCGCGGAGCTGGCGCGCGCTTGCCTCGCACGCTCGCTCCGCCCCTCCCGCGGCGGGACGTGGCCGTGGCCGTGGGCGCGTGCGCTCCAGACTCGGAGGGCGGAGGCCTGCCCCGCCCCGTCTCCTTGGTAACGTGCACGCCTCCTTCCCCACCCCCCTCCCATACACACCTGGCTGGGACAGCAGTGCCCACTGACGACGACGCACATTCCTACTTGCAACAAACCAGAACTCCTCCTGACCGGGAGGGAGGGGAAGCGCAGCGGCGACCGCTGGCTCCAAGCACCGGCGAAGACAGCCAGTTTTCCTGCCCTAGAGGCCCAGGAAGTCAGGACGGACTGGATAGTGTTTGTGCATTTTCGGGAGGATCAGCCCAGCAATGTCGGCCTCTTAACAATTGTACCATTCCTTACTCTTCCCACCTTCTCTCACTGAGGCTTCATGAAAGGCCTGCGAACCCAGCAGGGGCGGGCCGCTTGCTCAGGTTCTACATCTGAGGAAGCTGAACCCCAGCCCGAGCTAACCAAAGAAGCTCTGAACAACTTCTGGAGAGTGCAAACATCAGTGTCTCCACTCACCTACCCACCAGCTCTTTGGTGAGCATAGGAGTGACCATTCCTCCATCCAACATTTATTAAGTGCCATGTCCTATCAGGACAGCTTCAGGAGCCGAAAACAGCGAACCCAGTGAAAGCCCTGGCCCCCAGAAGTTCTCTCCAGTGAATGCCTTTCTCCCAAGCTTCTACTTCAGTGGCCTGGATGTGGCAGTTGGGAGGTCTACTGGTTAATATAGCATAGGTTACTCCCAAGCTAAGTGCAAGCTCCTTCAGGACAGGTTCAATCTTGCTCTAGTCTCTGATGACCTATAAACCTCAAATCACTGTGCTAAGGACTCCTCCTGAGATGCCCAGATTTATGGTGGAGGTGAGGAAGGTAACTACGCTTGTAAATGTGGCTGGTCATAAATTTTGCTGCAAGACAGGCTAGTCCAAGGACTATCCTGGTGCTTCTGACAAGGTTATTTGGAAAGATGATCACCCCAAAGAGTATATCAGAAAGGTGACTTTGGAAAAGGTCAGCAGCCACGTGGTAATGTGATCTTGAACCTCATCCACAAAGTCTGTCCCAGTGCACTGGACAGTTTGGCAGAGTGGGCAGCTGGCTACTGAAAAGTCTTCAGGGGAGGGCCAGCAAGAAGGTCATTATTGCTGTCTTACCTGTGAACATCAAACATGGGCAACGATTGGCTGGTTTGGGCAGGTGGACTACACACTAGATGTGGTTCTTGCGACACAAGAAGGGCACATGGCCTTTGCCTTCAGGGCACATGGCTAGTTAATTCTGTTTCTTGGAAGTTGATTAGGCTTTCAGGACATCATTGTCAGGAGATATCCTTTCCTCATCTTGTTCTCTCTGCTCACTTCCTTTAGCCTGGTTGGGAGCTCCAGAACCTAGTATGAGAGTTCCAGGTGTGCCTTAGGAGTTTCAGCACTGTATTGTTAGGAGAGTTGACCTGCAACTGGGGATCAGCCCACGAGGCTTCATCTCCTAGTGTTTCCAACACTGCGTACTATCCAGTGGCCACTAGGGGGCAGCAGACTCATTTGCAAGGCCCTTTCTACACTCCTAACAGGTCTCCTCTCAGTTGTCTCTCAATAGCACACATTCCATTATTGGAAGCCCAGACTTGCCCTTCCTCTTTCCCAGGAATCACCAACTGAGGCTCTTTAGTTCTGTGTAAATTGCCAGAGAATATCTCCCCAGGGCTCCTTTTCTTAAAGTAATTAAACTTATGGGGTTAGATGGAACCGTTCCTTTCTTCCCCACCTCTTCCATTCCAAAGCCTGTTAGAGCCCCTCTAACTCAGCCAGAGGATATTCATGCAGTGTAACATGCTTGCCACAACTGCCAACCCCACTGTCTGAGGGACTGAAGCTGGTTTAGTCCCCAGCTACTCAGCCTAGAAAGGGCTGCCTCTGCAGGATGTCCCCACAGCTGAGGACTAACTAGTTTCAGCAACTACAAGTCAGCTTCATTGTTCTACCAAGAGCCAGGAAATGTAGCAGGAACACTCAACACTCCAGGTGTGTGTGTGGGGCACCCCCACCTTTTACAGGGTTCCTAAGAGGAGGAGAGAGGCATAAGGAATTAGTAGATAGAAAGATAGCAGAGATGAGATAGACAGAGACACAGGATGGCTTTGGGAGGAGCTGGATCAAAATCCACCGGCCCCTTCTGTCTCTTCAAAAAGGCTTTTATAGGAATGCCAAGGGGCAGGGCAAAAGCTTTCCCCTTGCTAGATCAAAGCATACTGCACACCCAAGTGCAGACCCTTCCAAACACCTGGTAACCACACACATGGTCAATCCATCCCCTTATGCAGCCCTGCTGGGTAAAGCAAGCTCAGAACTCACTAGGAAACCTCTGTGGGCTCCCACAGTTCCCTCCTCTTAATTTTTTATTTTTTTATTTTTTGAGACAGGGTTTCTCTGTAGCTTTGGAGCCTGTCCTGGACTAGCTCTGTAGACCAGGCTGGCCTCGAACTCACAGAGATCCACCTGCCTCTGCCTCCTGAGTGCTGGGATTAAAGGCATGTGCCACCACCACCCGGCTCCTCTTAATATTTAAAAGAGCCCCTTAGGTCCCTCAGATAGACTGCGTCTGGCTTAGGTTGTCTTCTTCAGTTAAACAAACCTTACCCATCATGGAGATACACTTTCCATCAAGCACACTTTTGTCTTAGGTTGTCGCTAACAAGAAGAACGTTGCCCGTCCCTGACTACCAGCCTCTGGCAAGAGAGGATACAGAGTCTAACCCTGATTCAGGTTCCTACTAAGAGTTTGCAAGTAGTTTGCTGCATCCCCCAGGAAAGGAGTAGAGGATGACCAAGATAGAATGTTCCTTTTTGAATGGGTCTTAAGATGTCTCTAACAGCCTTAGCTGTGCCAAGCCCTTTTTAAAACCAATAAACACTTGATGCAAACCTCATCAAATAAACTGCAGCAAACTTAAAGATTCCCTTAGCTTCACCAAACCCTGGTTCATTAATATCAACATAATTCTAGTATGAACATTACTATACATATTTACAACTAGCATAACTAGTTACTATACATAATTACACTTCTTACAAGCTTACATTCAAAAGCAAACTCTAGGGTTACCTTGTAAACTTTAGCAAACATCTAAAACAGATCTCTTAACAGAACTTTACATTTTCTTCCAACAAGACAGAGTACATGAATTGAGAATCACCACAGTTAAAAATTGCAGGTGAACTCAAAGCTGCTTCACTTGTGAAGTTCACATTAAATGTCATTAAATGTGGGATGACTCATCCCTAGTGGGCTTGAGGCCCAGCCAAGTAAAAAAGATACTTCCTGAGAGCCAACCTGGGTCTGCCTAAGGGTCTTAGCAACAGCAGCTGAAACATGATCTGGAGATGACCTGGACGAATGAGAGACATCCATGTCACACCAGCAGATGCATATTCATCAGACCTCCCCCCAGGGAGGGGTGGAGAGTATATAAGGCTTGCCTCTAACTAAATAAACTGAGCTTGTTGTTTTGACATTCTCCCAGAGTCTGTGTCATTGACTCTGTGCCTGCTTGGCCTCCTCCCCTAAAGGGAACAACAGCTAGGACCCTGCTACATCTGGTGCTGAAACCTGGGAAATTTGGTACTTGAAAATGGTCTGTTTGTCTCCCTTTACTCATATGCAGCACTGGTTGAGCAGTGTATTTCAGTGAGTAGGCCCCTCTACGTTATGTGATTTTGGTCCCTTTAGCAGGTAAATGCTGGGACCCCGACTTTCTTTTTTTTGTTTGTCTTGTCTGTGAGTCTATCTGTACAGTAGGGTGGCACATACTTTTGTTTAAGCTTGCCTGCTGTTTCCATATAAGGGCTGGACCCTCAGGAAACCACAGTCACTGTTGTTTATCCCACCTTCTAACACTATGGGAAATTTCCTCCCTCACCATAAAGAGGCCCCTATTGGAGCCCTTAAGTCCCTCCTAACCAGCTAGGGGCTCTGGGCTACAACATCAGAACTAGAAAGGTTTTGGGTGGAGGCTGTGGAGCTTGCTCCATGGATCTCTTGAGAGAACATATGGGAATCTGATCTTTGGATGAGAGTTCTGTTCCTGACCAGAAAAAAGAAGTGGCCCCAGGAGTAACCAACCCTCCAATTGTTTTTCATGCCCATTTTGTTGGCTATAATCACTGGCTTAAAGTCCTCCTCTACTGAGGAGGTCATTAAGACCCACAACAAGCACTGTCAGAAACAATGTGACACCAACTTATCTATCACCTTCATTCCTTCCATGACTGATATTTCCTCTGCCTCTGCTGGCAAGTAGATGGATGGGAATAGGCATAAAAGAAAGGAAAAGGATGGAAAGAGAGAGGAAATGATTGCGGCAGCACCTAGGCCTACACAGGCAGCCCTTTTCTCTGCTTCCCCCATGCCTTGAGCAGCTACCCACACACACACACTGCGGTATCCACAGAGTGATTTGCTTTGATGTCTGCCTGCCCAGACAGCTGCTCCACATACCTCCCAGCCTATTCCACCTATGGTGCTGCACATGCCCACCATGGTGTTTCCAGTTAATGTGGGCCCCAGTGCGGCTAACCAGCCATGGATACCTACCCCTCTTGCAGACCTGTCTTTGGTCCATAAGGCTGCTAATGAATCAGGTCCTGACTCACCATATTTTGAGCAAGTCCTACAGCAATGGGCAATGCATTTACAGACTTATTATGACTGGCACCATTTGATGAAGGCTGTGTTGGAGCCTGTGGTCTTCCTTAATTGGCAAGCTGCCTATGATGACCAGGCCAAGGCTCAGGCTTGTTTTTAATATACAGTACAACACTGCTGTTTCTCTTGAGATGTTCATGGGCCAAGAACCATGTGTTAATCCTGTCACAAAAGCTCAAATTGGACAACACACTTATTTACTTGCCTTGGGAGACAACATTGCCCTTGGTGCTTTGAAGGGATCCCATCACCCTTCAGTGGCAACACTCTGTTCCCCTATTAACATGGAGGCGAGGGTATGCTTGCATTTTTTCCCAGAATACCACCACACTGATATGGATAACCTCCAGAGATATGTGTCTGGCAACAGACCAAGAGATTTTGGACAAAGAAGAAACTTCAGAGGGGTAATGTATGATTTGCCCTGCTACTGTGGTGTTAGTAAAGGTCATTTCATCACTGGCATACAACCCTAGATATTAAGCAATTGCCTCACCCCCTACAAGGTCAATTATACATGACCAGAAGGACTTTGATTGGCACACTTCATATAAATATGACTAGGGTCCCATCCATGTCCTTGAGACTGAAATTTTGACTAATCCTTCTCTTGTTCAAATATCTGCAATAGGTTCATCAACAGAAGGTGGCCAAAAAGGCGACCCTATAGGTTTTATTGGCTCTCAGATACCTAGATTATTGGCTCACTGAGATACAGAAGGCTACTGCCTAAAGCCCACCACCCAGACAGCTCTCCAGGATTGATGCTCTTCCAGGGCTGGTAGTCAATGACAGATATGAATGAGCTTGTTTGGCAAGCCAATCTAAGACAGGCACAGTCCATTATGCTGAGGTCTCCTGAGGTGGGGTCAACAAGGTTAGGGCAATGCACCCTAGCTCTCACTGAGCATGTCCTATAAAATAATAAAAAGGGTGGATATGTGGGATAGATAACTCATCCCTAGCAGGCTTGAGGCCCAGCCAAGTAAAAAAGATACTTTCTGAGAGCCAACCTGGATCTGCCTTAGCAACAGCAGCTGAAACATGATCTAGAGATGACCTGGACGAATGAGAGACATCCATGTCACACCAGTAGATGCATATTCATCAGACCTCCCCCCAGGGAGGGGTGGAGAGTATATAAGGCTTGCCTCTAACTGAATAAACTGAGCTTATTGTTTGAACATTCTCCCGGAGTCTGTGTCATTGACTCTATGCCTACTTGGCCCCCTCCCCTAAAGGGAACAACAGCGAGGACCCTGCTACACTTAAAGTTCCCCCGACAGTTGGAAACAAGATCCTAATTCCTCAGTGGCTCTGGAGTCATTGTATCCAACTCCCTCAACTCTGGAATTTGGTGACTGCTGTTGCTAGGGGGCTGTAACACTTGGGATGATGCCACCCTCCAGAACCAGTTTTCCCACCGGCCCTTCCAGCTATTCCAGAACCAGCAGAAGTGCACACAGTGCGGACGGTTGCCAATTGGGGGCTACCCCTTTACCCAAACTCACTGCAGCTCCCCTGAGTGCCACAATTCAAACAAAGCACTATTGAAACTTCACTCCTAGCTACAGGAGCACTTTATGGCGGTCTTTCCTGACAACTTTGCCTCAGGGCGAGAGTGGAATTACCATACTGAGCTGCCATAAAGCTCTTAGAAAAAACTTCCTGCACAGCTATTAGGAACCATCTCTTAAAGGAGCCACACATCAATTTGCTGCTAGTCAAACAAAAGTGGTGTGGCTCTGAGCTCCATTTCCTTTCAGCCTTTACTAAATAGTGACAAAATCTTTGTCCTAAACTCCTCAGCAGTCTGGGGGCCCCCTTAGTCTCCTGCTTTCCCTAGACTGCAGGATGGAACCTCAGTATCAGAAACATTGGTTCAGCAGCTTTCACTCCAGTTCCTCTGGAGAAGCGTCATTGGAGCTGACATTCCTGTTCCCCACTCCTCACCCAACACTCAGACAGCCATCAAGCTTCTGGGGGTACAATTTCCCCCTTCTTAATTTTTTAAAGCTGCTTTTAAAAAAAACACTGGTTTGAAGGGAAGACAGGAACTAGCAGAGAGGGTTTACACTATTCCAAGAGCTTTCTTGTTTTTTTTCTAGGGCAATTACAGGCAACTTTTCCATTTGGATAGATGCCCCCCCACCCCCAAGTGAGTCTAATTCTGCCCCTACAGAAGGAAGATGAGTACCCTTCTGGAAGGGAGAGACCTGAAAAACTTTCAGGTTTTTGGAGAGAAATTACTAGATTTTCCCCAAGACTTCTGTTCCCTACCAGCTTTTGACAAGAGGAAACTGAGTCCTATAGTACAATGTTATAAAATTGTTCTCAGGCACTGGTGGCTGAGCAGAAGGGTTTGTCTCTCCTGTATCTGCCTCAGGGATGATGTTATAAAAGTGTTCTCAGGCACTTGGTGGAGCGGAGGGTTTTGTCTCTCCTTTATCTGCCTCAAGGATGATGCTGTAAAAGTGTTCTCAGGCACTGCTGGTGGAGTGGAAGGTTTTGTCTCTCCTACATCCATCTCAGGGGAAACTCTCCCCTGCTTCTCAAGGCTTAGATCTAAACTGTTCCAAATCAATGTTCACAGGCCAAAAGCTTCCACTGGAATCTTTTCTGGCCCGTATTCTTCAGTGTTTTTTTTTTTTGTTTGTTTTGTTTTGTTTTTGCATTTCAACCCTGATTCTCCCCCAGGAGTCTGCATTCAGAGTCCATAGTTGGAAAACCAAGGACACAGTTCTATGAACTCCAAGAACCTCTGTACTTTTTGTAGTTCCACCTTAACCCCCCTTGTTTTAAAACTTTCCACCAGTGAATCTTCAAAGATCTGTTTACTATTTCCCTGCCTCATAGCAGCTTTACCTTCTCAGACTGCTAAATCCACAGTGGCTGCTTGTTCCTGGACGCTGTTTTCTGGTCTGGCACTAGGGAAATTCTTTTATCCAAAGTTTCTTCTTACCCAATATTCCTATTCCTAACCTTATATTTTTTTCCTAATTTTTTTTTTTTTTTTTTTTGGTTTTTTGAGACAGGGTTTCTCTGTGTAGCTTTGCGCCTTTCCTGGAACTCACTTGGTAGCCCAGGCTGGCCTCGAACTCACAGAGATCCACCTGGCTCTGCCTCCCGAGTGCTGGGATTAAAGGCGTGCGCCACCACCGCCCGGCTCTTTTTTCCTAATTTTAATAGATAGAAATTGAGACAGAGAGAGAAACCTAAATTGAGAGAGGTACTCACTGAAGCCTAACTATTTCTATATTGCTTTATATTTAGTTATAGCTCTCGAAGAATAAAATACCACTGCCCTTATCCTTCACTACAAAACTGGACATGTCCAGCTGCTTCCATGGGGTTCTTTCCTATTCTCACTTAACTTCCTTTGCACCCATCCCTGTTTGGGCACCACTTGTGGGATGCCCACTCTCGCCTTTTACAGGGTTCCTAAGGAGGAGAGAAGCATAAGGAATTAGTAGATAGAAAGAAAGCAGAGATGAGACAGCCAGAAACACAGGATGGCTTTGGGAGGACCTGGATCAAAATCCACCAGCTCCTTCTGTCTCTTCAAAAGGGCTTTTCATAAGGATGCCAAGGGGCAGGGCAAAAGCCTTCCCCTTGCTAGATCAAAGCACATCCAAGTGCAGACCCTTCCAAACACCTGGTAACCACGGACATGGTCAATCCATCCCCTTATGCAGCCCTGCTGGGTAAAGCAAGTTCAAATCTCACTAGGACACCTCTGTGGGCTCCCACAGGTCCCTCTACACTCCTCACCAACCCCTCAGACCGTCGTCAGGCTTCTGAGTCAGGGCACAAATGTGCAAAAGCAGGAAAAGTCCAGTGACTGACACTGCCAACAGATCCTGCTAGCTGCCTGTTCTCCTGCCCTGTGCTGTCCAAGTGCCTGTCTTTCTGTTATAGTCCTTTCATTGCCATCCAGATAAGCTGCTGTCCAGACAACCTCTTGAGCAAACAACGCCTTGAGTTTAAATTTTATTTTACAAAAAGAGAAATAAAGAAAACTGATAGGCAGTTATACTGACTTACAATTGTTCTGTTTGCTTTTTTAAAAAAGTGACATGAAACACAAGTAAAAATAAATACGTCATAGAAACAGCCAGTTGCCCAGTCTCTGGGGCAGAAGTGCCTGCCCAGCTGAGAGAGAGGGAAGCCCATGATCACACCAGCAGCTGGATCACCCAGCCACAGATGGTCCTCTAAGCCAGGCACAGGTCCCGGGCCTCAGGGGCGTCCTGAGGAAAGAAGACAGAAAACTAAAGCCAGGTACCAGGGCCTTGGGGCAACCTCATCTCCTCCCCCCTCCCCCAGCTCCTCTGGCAGCAGTGTGGCCTTAGTGGTTATCCATTACAACCCCTTCAACCCACCTGGACCCTCTCTCTGATCCCTCTGAAGAGGGTACAAGGAAAAAAACCTGTTTGGGGCAGGCTGGAGGGATTCTTCTGGTGAGTCCCCAGCCTACCCTGAGTTACACAACCAGATAACAGTCATTTTACACCACAGTGCACATGAGCACACACATGCAAACGCATACACACACTCACTCAAACACAGCCGGGCTGAACTCTCTTCCAGGGGGGGTCCTGGGTCAGGTCACAGTATGAGGTCCCCTCTCATCTGATCATCATCCTAGCAGTGGCGGCAGAGTGCCCAAACCTCCCTCAGCCCTCTACACTGTAGATTATGCAGCCTGCCTGGCCCTCTCTCCCCAGCACACCAGATGACTACAGCAAACAGACTTGTGGCAGGGGAAAGGCGCAGACTTGGGTCCCTGAAAAGCAAAGAGGGTGGACACTGCCTGCTTAGTTCATCATTCTAGGACTCAGGTATCCATAAAAGGCCTAGAGCCAAGCCAGTGGCACAGAACAGACATTGAGGGATTACAGCAATTGAATACACAGGGGCAGAGGAGTCAGTGGGAAGGAACAGAGTCTGATGGTGAGCAATGGGCAGCACAGCATTTTCAGATCGGCCTTGAGGTGCTGGTTTCCTGGGAATTAGACAGCAGAGGAGCCATAGTCATCTTTTGGGGGAAGGGAGACTTCTCAGCAGCTATGGCAGGGAGAGAGCAACCTGGTTGAATGCACGGAAAGCCATGGCTCAGGACTCATCATGTAGAAACCAAAGGGAGGTGGGAAGCAAGAGTCTGGAAACAAGGAATGTAAAGCCTCCAGGAAACCTTTCCCTGTGGGAGGACTCAGCTCCAGAGCAATGAGTGTCAGGCTTAGATACTGCCTGCTACCAGCGGTCCCATCTATATGGCTGGTGCTTTGTTTCAACTAACCAGCGAAACATTCCCCAGCTCTTTGTTCATGCTCCCAGAGTGGGGAACTTCATTTTTAGTTGTAAGTCACAAATATATAATCTACCCATTAATTCCTAGAAAAGTGAGTTCCAAGGGCCAGACAGAATTATCTTTAAGCCAGGAAACACTTAAGTAGCATAACTCAAAGGGCCGAGGACTTCAGAGTTAAGCAAGCCATCAAGAAGGATCTGACCAACATGGTTCACTTCCTCCTTTTCTTGAATAGCTACTCCATCCCTACCCGAGGGAACAGACAGAAGAAAAGGGAATCAAGTATCTCAAGTGTCATCTGGCAACATTTAGTAGTGTTCCCTAGAATAAGAATTTAGAATATACCAGAGTGACTGGACTCCATGAAAGACAAATAGAAATAGTGAGAGAAAATGCATGAGCCTGATCTTTGTCTGCCTTTCCCCAGGGTCTCACTGTGTATGTAGACCAAGCTGATCTTCCTGTCTCAGCTTCTTGAGGTCTAAGATTTCAAGCGTAAGCCAGCATGACCACTTACCACCAAAGGCTTCCAATCTAAGTACAGTAAGATCTGTAAGTCCCTTACTCCCCTCATCACATGCTCATGTTTGGTGTGCACACACATTTCCCCACTAGCCCACAGGAAAAGCCAGATATTTTCGGTTTGTCAGGTGGGAGGTATGGGTGCCAAAGCCCATGGAATTAATATGCTACTCACTCCCACCCCTATACAACAGAAGGTGCACATTATCACAAAAAGCCTTCGTTAACCAGGAGCCTTGCCTAGAGTTACGGCCTCTGCTAAGCTGCAGTGAGTTGAAGCCCTGGAATGACGGAGTATAGAGCAGACACATGCTGTCTCCCAGAATACCCATTTACTTCCTTGCAGCTTAAAAATTGACTGGTTTCAGTTCCCTACTGAAATGATTTCTAGTGATTTCCTTTCTGAACACAGAAACACACGTTTCCCTGGCTGGCAGGGTATACACACAGACACACACAAGTCTGGGAGCTCAGTGTTCCAAGGTCTGAGAGACATCCATGTAACACACAGACAGAAACACAGACACACTTGACACAGACACACACAAGTCTGGGAGCTCAGTGTTCCAAGGTCTGAGAAGCATCCATGTAACCCAAGTTCTGTGTGTGTTCTTCAGATTATAGAGATCTGGACTGGCTGACTCCCACTACACCAGCCTCAACCTAAGAGCCCACGCAAATTAAAAAGCCTTGACTAGCCATTCTTGGGCTACATTTCACAGAGAAAGCACTGGTTGGAACTGCTATTTTTAAATTATTAAAATAATTTGCATAGCTAAATTGTAGATCTAAGGCTTCTATGAGTAGAAGAGTTAAGTGTCTGACAGGGTGCGTATGAAAACAGAGAAAGGTCCACTTTTGGTGTTACTGGACAGTACACACACACCCCATCAGCCATCTCCTTGTCTCTCTGAGGAAACCCATAGTGTCTGTCTGCCTTGAGGCTCCCTTGTTCCCCCCAATAATGGGAAATTGCTAGTCAAGAGTCGCAGGAGGTTAAGATACTTCTTGGACTAGGAGACAGATTTAGCAGTTGCCCAATCAAGTTGGAGCCAAGGGAAGGTGGTAATGTCAGGCACCATCATGTGTGTTATTCACCACAAAGAACTGCCTGGAAATATTCAGGGGGCAGGGGGGCTATAAGACACAGTACATACCAGGAAAACGGCCAGTGTTTATGTTTAAGCACTACATCCCCTGCCCTTACATCTGGAAGAAGGAAAGGGAGATCAGAATGACTCATGTGTTCTTTTATAACAAAAGCCAGACTTAGGATCCTACAGAGAGAGAAAATGCTTCCCCATGATCCTTCAGAGAAGATGGAGGGGACAGAAACCAGGCCCACACCGATCACCTGATATGCTGGGGAGGCCAAGACAATTCCCAACTGGAAATCAATAGTCCATTACCTCAACCCAGCAGCTACCTATCCAGTTTCACTATTCAGCAGAGAACTGGCCTGTAAAATCATCATAGAAGACAACAGTTCCAAATGTGGAGGTTATATACTTCCCAGTAGCAAAGTCCATGATCCCAAGTTTCAGTTTCTGCGGAATGAATCTCACCGCCCCCAACCAGCCAATCTCAGGCTCCTGATTTTCCTGAGAGGCCGCTTCCCACGACACAGTTGTTTAATCCGACACCTGGTTGATTCTAATTCTCTTTCCCTGGTCAATTAATTCACCACCCATCTGGGACCCTTTTTTGCCAGTAGCTAGGGGGTCTGGAATATCTTAGAATATCCTTTACTATCTCCTGTCTTCCTTATAACCTCCCCTACCACCCCTGCCCCCAAATGAAGATAATAAATAATTGCCCATAAGAAATAAATTAACATGGAGCTCTCTAACAGGGAGGGAACGAGGAAAGGCCACCAGCACAGGCAGCCTAAGGGGCTGAGTTGTCCTGGTGAAGCCTGTCTTTTCTAGCCACCACAGAAAACTAACTTCGCTGCAGTGCACTTCCAGCCCATGTAGAAAGAGACATCTGCTCAGAGGCGGCCACTGTGGAAAGAGTCAGAGATTGGAAATGCTCTCCCTCTCATGATCTCCCCGCAAGTTAAACCAAGGTGGCTCTGAAAACTAGGGACTCAGTTAGCCTGGTCTTCTCTTCACCTATCTGAAGGAAACTGACGCCCGTGGCTCTTCTCCTGGACTCATTCTGATGTTCAATTTAGTAGCCATAAACCAGCACACTCTGATTTATACTCCAAAAAAGATAAATTCATTTCCTTTTAGTTTATCTTAGTTTTCCCCTCCCTCCCCTCCCACCTTCACCCATTCTGCTACATACGTGTTCTCTCTCTCTCTCTCTCTCTCTCTCTCTCTCTCTCTCTCACACACACACACACACACACACACACACACACACACACACCCTGGTCTGCATCCTTTCAACCTCCTAAAAAGATACCATGTGATATGGAGTCTTCGTCTGCTCCCCATGCCCGCCCTCATCTCCCTCCCTCTTCTCCCATCCCCAGGCCAAACTAAGTCACTCAGTAAGGCAGCTCTTGGGTGCGATGTTCCCAAAGGCAGAACAGGATATGAGCTCTTCTACACTCAGATGGCAAACAAGCAGCCAGCATAAGCAAGGCAGGCAAAGAGGCAGGCTGTGCTACCCCTCCATTCCTGATTTCGGTCCCTGATTTCCCACTATTGCGGCTCTGTTGGGGTTTTTGTTTGTTTGTTTTCCTTTTCTTTTTCTAATAAACAGCAATTGAGCCCTGCCATTATGGCCAACCACTCTTGTCTTCTTTTCCCTCCTGCCCAGTACCCTATTTTCAGAAAGACCAGGTTCACTGCCTTCCAGTTTGGTGGGAACCTGCTAGGGGCCCCAAGTGAGGTGGGAAGGAGCATCCCAGCTATTTCCCAGTGACCTCTATCACATCATCATCTTTATCCTCGTCATCATTGGAGCTGAACCCCACCTCGGCAACCTCATGGGAGTCAAATGGAGGCACCTGGGACCGGAGGAGGCCACCAGCTGGGTAGCCTGCGTGTGGGGACATATAGCCTGGGTAGACAGACATGCCCCGAGAAAGGTTGCTGGGCAAGACAGGGGAGGGGAAAGGCGCAAACATCCTCGGCTCGGACAGGAGTGGCTGTGAGAATGGGAGTGAGTAGCTGGGTAGTATCCCTGGCACAGAGGGGTTGAGCATGAAGGAGGGGTTGCTGGCAGTGACTGAGGTAGCCGTGGAAGAGGAACTGACAGGGCCTGTTGGTACCAGAGGGTCAGTAGTCACTGGAAACACCAGGCGGGCATCTGCCAGCAAATTGGACAGCTGGTAGTAGGAGGGGGTATTGCCCATAAACAGGGAATTCTCCCCAGCCTGGGAGGTGAAGGGGGTGGTGAGGTTATGATTTAAGGAGACGGGTGGCATGGCAAACCCGCCAGAAACTGGATACCCGTGTTCATAGGGCTGCACGGGGGCTGGCAGATGGCCCTTCCTGGACCGCCGACGGACTGACTCCTGGGTGGCAGATGGAGTGGCCAACTTTCGCTTGTGGCCCCTTAGGTCCAGCACTGGGTGCCTGCCACCACTGGGCTGGCCAGTCACCAAGAGGGAACTGTTGAGGCAATGACCCCCAAGGTATGGCTCAGTTCCAAGAGCTGTCCCAGGAACGGTGCTGCTGTCCATGAGTGGGGCGGGGGGGCCAGGCAGGGCGGCACTGACGCTTGGGGAGTTCTGGCGGGATTCCCGGGCAGCGGCCACATCTGCATACTGCTGGAGCTCACTGATGATCTCTGGGCTGTCAGGAGAGACGGGCCTGGCCAGCCCCTCAGGGTCAGGGGCTTTGGGTGATGAGGCACTGTGTCTGCCATTGCTTGTGGATGCAAGAGAAGGCCCCTGGGAACCTGGAAATAAAATATAGGTGACTGAAACCAGAATGAAAAGGGAAAAACAATTCTATTAAAAGAATAAATTTTGTCCTGTAGTCCTCAAATCCTCATTGTTTGATACTTAAATATCATCCAGTCAACTTTCCCCGGTCTCAAAGACAGAAATCTTTTGATTCCAGAAACAAGTTGTGATGGTTAAGACTATCAACTTGACCATGATCAAGAATAACCTGGGAGACAAATCTCTGGGCATGTCTGTGAGGGAGTTTCTAGATTAAGTTAACTGAGGTGAGAACCCATCTTAACTGTGGGCAGCAGCATCATTCCATGGGATAGGGTGTGAGACAGAATAAAAAGGAGACAGTGAGAGGAGCATTCCCACTGACTATTGTTTCCTGAGAGTGCACATAGGTGACCAGCCACCTCACTTCTGCTGCCATTACTTCCTTCTGAAGTGTATTCCCTTCAGCTGTAAGCCAAGATAACCCTTTCCTCCCTCACATTTCTTCTGGCCAGGTATTTTATCATAGCAGCAAGAAGACTAATGCACAAGCCCATATGAAAGGTCATGGGATTTCCCTGCACCTTCCTCTGTCTGAACAATTCTATAAAGTGAATACTATAAAATAATGGATATGAAACGTTGGAAACTTCTTCACCTTTTTGGAGACCAGGTCTCATTATGTATAGCTGGCTAGCCTGGAACTCACTATTCAAAGACAGCCTATCTAAGTTTAAGACAGAACCAAACTAGCTATGAGAAACAATTTGGAAAACTAGGAAATCTGGATAAAAGTTGGATATTATGTAAGATTATGGAATTATTGTTAATTTTTCTTTTAGTATGATTATGATGTAGCTAGTATGTAAATGTCCTTAATCTTAAAAGATGTATATTGAAGTGTTTATGGGTAAAATAGCATGGTATCTTCAGCTTACCAATAATTCACATAACAGAAAGGCAAGGAAAGACAGGAGATTAACAGGAAATTAACAATCTTTGGGTGTAGGTGCAGGAAATACAGACATGCAGTAGTTCCTTCCTCCTAACCCATAAGTGAAGGCTACAGCGGCAAAGCTAAGACAGTCCAGCTCTAAGACAGCCCGGCTCTAAGGCAGCCCAGCTCTAAGGCAGTCCGGCTCTAAGGCAGTCCGGCTCTAAGACAGCCCGGCTCTAAGGCAGTCCGGCTCTCCTATCAGTGGTAGAATGATACATGAAAACCACGTCTAGTGAGGAGAATTTGGCATTGTTCACGAGCCACAGATACACCCTTGACCAAAAATTCTACTTCTAGGAGTGTGTCCCAGAAACAACCCCACAGGCCAGTACTAATAACCTAGATGTAAATCAATAGGAAACTTTCAACAAGGCATGTCTAGAACAAAGGATAAGAAATAAGCTATCCCTGGTGAGCGGTCGGGGGTAATGAAGTATAGTATACTAGCATTTGTTTTGAAAATGCAAAGAAAAACTAAATACTTAAAATGCACACAGTTACATCTGTATGTGCACACAACCCTTTACCATGTATGGGAGATCTTTAAAACAATAAAGCAGAACAGAACCCAGGGAGGACCAAGGAGGATTGGGAGGAGGGAAGGAGAACTTATTTTTCATCACCTGTCCCTTTTTCATGTTCTAATCACAAAACTTATATATGTTATTTATTCAGAAAGTACATTAATTATAAGTAAACCAAATAAATGTTGAGTAGGTCAATAGAAAGTAAAAGACTACCATACCTGAGGCAGCCATCCGACCATCTTCAGGGGCCTTTGGTTTGCCAGTCGCCCGGACAGCAAAGATCCGTCCATCACTGGTGCGGATGTATGTCCCTAAGAGATATTAGACTGTCAAGAGCCTGCAGGAAATGTAGCCAGCCCTGAGACATTCCAGGCCCCAAGGGCTGGAAAGTGCCTATAAAAACCCACCCCACACAACACCTGTAGTAAGGTCAGGAAAACTGAAGTCTAGATTCATAACGACTCATCTAGTCTGCAAATACTGATTGCTAACCTACCACAAACCAGGCAGTTTTAAAACTTGTAAACTTAAGACAGAAAGGGGCTGTCTCCTAGAGCTTAATCTCTGGAGAATACTCCAGAAAGTACCAAAACAATGGAAGTCAACAGGACCTATGACAAGCTCTGTGTTCTCGGGCACTCTGGCCCAGATCCTCTTTCTGGTCTGGAAAATGGACCCTTATGCTTCAGTATCCTCTATTGCTTGGTTGGGTTAATTCAAGACCTGTAGTCTATTCCTACAAGGCACTAACCTGCCTTGCTTTTCTCCAGTTCCAGGAGATCTGATACTCTCTTCTGGTCTCGCTGGCACCAGGCACACATGTGACATACAGACATAAACGCAGGCAAAGCACCCACACAAATAAAATAAAATTTTTTAAAAAATTAAAACGGGGCTGGAGAGATGGCTCAGAGGTTAAGAGCACTGACTGCTCTTCCAGAGGTCCTGAGTTCAGTTCCCAGCAACCACATGGTGGCTCACAACCATCTGTAATGAGATCTGGCGCCCTCTTCTGGCCTGCAGTCATACATGCTGTATACATAATAAATAAATAAATCTTAAAATAAATAAATAAATAAAAATAAAAAATTAAAACAATCTTATAATTACATTTATTTATTGTGTGTATGCAGGTGTGTGCCAGGGTGCAAATGTAAAGGTCAGAGAACAATTTGTGGAAGTCAAGAGGGACCCAGGAATGACACTCAGGTCACCAGGCTTGGTGGTGAGTGTTTTTACCTGCTCCGTCATCTCACAGGCCTTACTTCTCTTTTTTAACCTGTATTATCATATCACTTCAAATAAAGTTATTTTGGAAAAGAAAATGTGAATTTCATATAGTTTCCATGTCATAAACTATTATTCTTGATTTTTTCCTTGATTTTCTTCAGTTTTCCACTAATTAAAAATGTAAATTACAGCCAGACAGTGATGGTGTGTGCCTTTAATCACAGCACTCAGGAGGCAGAGGCACGCAGATCTCTGTGAGTCCAGCCTGGTCTACAGAGCAAATTCTAAGAGAGCCAATGCTACAAAGAGAAACCCTGTTTTGAAAAGCCAAAGGGGGGCAGGGGGCGGGGAGAAAAGGAAAAAGTAAAATATACAATAGACTTCTGGTATAGTACTAGAAGCAGGCTAGACATGACACACAGTTCAGTCTGCTGATCCTTGCTCTAAGGAGAGCACAGTTAAAAGGCTCGGTTCCATACTAAGAAGAGACCCCCACCTCCCCCTCTTTGGCTTTTCAAGACAGGGTTTCTCTTTGTAGTGTTGGCTGTCTTAGAACTCACTCTGTAGACCAGGCTGGACTCACAGAGATCCACGTGCCTGTGCCTCCTGAGTGCTGTGATTAAAGGCACACACCATCCCTGCCAGGCTGGGGAGAGCTTTCTGTGTCTGTACTCTGTGGTCCTTTCCCCCTTGATCCAATGGAGACTAGAGCAAAATCCTCCCAAACATAAAGCCTCAAGCAGCCTCATACAGGGATGGCACTCAGTGACAGACTACGGGAGCTGGGTGTGTGTGGGGATGCATGCAACACATGCACGAGAGAAGGACAACTATGGAAACAAGCTCAGTTGTTTGTGTCCTTACACTAGGAAGCCCATGTTTTTCATTTCAGTGACATCATCTTCTTAAGAATGCCAGAAACATGTTGGGCTATTTATTTATTTATTGGTTTTTAATTGTTGGTTTATTTTGTTGACATAGGATCTCAATAAGCTCTGGCTGTCCTTGAATTTACTACATAGACCAGGCTGGCCTCAAACTCACAGAGATCTGCCTTTCTCTGCCAGCCAAGTACTGGGACTAAAGGCGTGCACCACTACGCCTAGCAAAATATTGGGCTATGTAAAATTACCACACTAAAAATTCTGTTGTGCAATACATCTGCACTAATTTATGTTCAGTATATATTTCCCAGCTTGGGACCATCACCCTGGCTCAAAGACATTGTAAATAACAGCACATACCCCAATTCCCTTCTTTAACGCCACTGACCGATGTCCTCGTTTAATGTCAGTACATAGAAATGCCACGTTCTCACTATTCTCCCAAGTGTGAAGCTCTTAGGGGATGGTTCCTATGAACTCTCTAGATTAAACCCTAAGTATTTATTCTGATTCTCAGCTTAGCACTCTCAAACAAAGGCCCTTGGCTAGGCTCTTACCTTTCGTCCCCCGTATGATATGGATGCTCTCACCAGCATTGATTCTTGCCTGAACATCTGTGGAGCTGTTGAGTCCAGGAATAACAATATCTAGTGAAAAACAGACCTTGCATTTAGATGACATGGGGCTTAACTGGAGAAAAGAAGGAAACAAAGTCTCACATCCATCCCAGGTCCTAACTAGTGTCCCACAGTCTTTCTATAGAGCTAATCAGAGAAGGTTAAACAAGAAGAGCCTTCACAATCGTCTCATCAGAGACTGCTATGAAAACCAAAGCGGCTTAGACAGCCGGCCATGCTTCTGATCAACTTTCTTTGCTTTAATTAAAAATTCATAGGGTTCTTAGTTTAGGAAAAAATTTCATTTGAACAGTTGTTTCTATTTTTCTCCACTCTGAACTATTTGAATTTGTTCCACATCATTTTAGGTTCCAAAAGTGCTCTGATCTTTCTTGCTGGCATTATCCCACAACTGGAAAAGAGTATTTCAAGATTGCATTGAGAAATAAGATTAACAGAGATTTTGTTCAGTTTATTTCACAATTGTTAATAAATGTCATATATTGCTTTCATCAAAATGTGTATAGCACGGATACTTCTAGTAAGTGAAGAGTAAATAGTAAGTGAAGAGGAAAATCATTCCCCCCAGTCACTCTGAATCTCAGAACTAATATCGGAGTTGGCTGAAACACCCACCTCCCTCCATTGCTCCCTGGCCCAGCATGCCCAATCTACAGCAGCCTGACACAGAAAAGGAGCATCCTAAGGGTTCAGGTCTCCTAACTCGGTAGGCTGCCCCTTTTATACCCTGCTGACCCTGCGTTGAGGCAGGCTCAGCACATTCATATCTCTGAAAACCTTTGAAACCCAAACTGATATTCCAGTAACGTTTCCAGAGTCCCTGTGGTATTCATAGAATTCCACTTACCACCATTTTAAAACAATAAAGCAATAACCACAAAAACCCAAGCCATATATTATATTACGATATTTCACCAGAATGCAAATTCTTCAAGATCAGGGAACCTTCATATTTACCTACAGTGCCTAATATGGTCAGGTCTATACAAAGGGTGTTTAACAGACACTTACTGGATGAACATCAAATTACAAAAGAACACTGGGCCAGTGAGATAGATAGTTCAGCGAAAAAAGTGCTCTGTTGTCAAACCTGACCACCTGTGTTTGATCCCAGGGCCCACATGAGCACTGTGGCATACACATGAACACAAAATAAATGGTTATGAGCACCTGCTGCTATTGCAGAGGACCCAGATTTGGTTCCTAGCACCCACACAGCAGCTCACACTGTCATCTCAGTTCCAGGGGATCCAGCATACTCTTCTGACCTCTGCAGGCACTAGGTACACATGGGGTGCATTCACATACATGCAGGCAAAATACCCATACACATAAATAAATAAATAAATAAATAAATAAATAAATAAATAAATAAATAAATAAATAAATAAATAAATGAGGAAGGGCTAATTTAAAGAGATAGATAGATAAGATAAGATAGGTAGGTAGGTAGACAGACAGACAGACAGCTACATACATACATACATACATACATACATACATACATACATACATACATACATACATAGTCAGAATAAATATCCCCAGGCCAGGTGGTGGGGGCACACGCCTTTAATCCCAGCACTCAGTAGGCAGAGCCAGGCGGATCTCTGTGAGTTCAAGGCCAGCCTGGTCTACAGAGCGAGATCCAGGACAGGCTCCAAAACTACACAGAGAAACCCTGTCTCGAAAAACCAAAAAAAAAAAAAAAAAAAATCAGAAAAGAAAGCAGGAATTCCCAACCTGTTGTGGTGACCACTTTCTGCACAAGGACTCCTGCCCGCTGCAAGTAGTTGATGGGGAAGTTCATGGATGGATTTGTGCTGGAGGCAGCGCTTACACTGCCACTGAGGGGGACATGCCGGGGCATCATGGGGATGGGGGTGGACTGTACAGGACGAACACTGGCCACAGGCTTTTCATCACCCTTCAGTGTTGGCTGCCTGCAGGAAAAACAAACAAGCACATTTACAGAGCTGGACAGAACAGCCACTGAGCTACTGTATGCCCTTCACCCTTAGCTGCTGCTGAGAGAAGCATTGGAAGAACACGCAGAGTCTAGTCAATTCTAAAGAAGCCTAGAGGCACGACTGAGATACCACAGCAGAGAAAGAAGGTCAGTTCCAGAGATAAGCAGTCAGATGTTAGTGGAGTAATGCCTTTCAGAGATAGAAGGTACCATCTGCTTCTCTAGAAATCTACATCAGGAACTAGATCGAAAGGGAAGATTAGATGCTACAAAAATATAAAAAGGAAGAGCAAGCTCTTGATACCATTGAAGTTGAAATCCAAAGGGCAGAATTGATCCTGACTCACCTATGTGATGCCACATGCTCAGATGATCATCAATCCCAACTTCTGGCAGCATTTCACACTCTCTGATTCTCTCACACATAAACCGAACCTCAGTAAGTTACACAGATGCCCCTCTCTACTCCAAGCTACTTCATGATGCTCCTTCTGCTCCTATCTAGGTCAGTCTCCACTGTGTCTCTCTAGTTATGACCACCGTACAAATGCAAGAGCAACCAAAGCCCCTGCAAAAGCCAGACTTCTATGACAGTACTAGAGCCAGAGAGAGAGATCTGGCTGTGCATCTCTTTCTAACAAAATATCACCCATGGTCAGTGGTGTGTTCTTCTTGGCTCACCTTTCAACTAGATGGTACATGACAAAGTTATTACTCCTGATTCAAGATCAAGATATTCTCTCTCTCTCTGTCTCTCTCTCTCTGCATTTATGTCTGTCCTGTCTCCCCAGCTCCCACCCCCCATCCCGCTACCCCCCAGTCTCTTCTTCCCACTACCCCCACTTATATACTCCTGATTGGCCTCAAACTCACCATGGATAACCTTAAATTTCTCCTCCTGCCCCTACATTCTGAGTGCTGAGATTACAGGCATGCACCACCACATTTGGTTTTCTGATAGCAGATTTAACTTCCTCTTGCTAAGCTTTTAAAAACTTTTTATACTTGTTGGCATTTCCTACCTCAAGACATCTGTGTGTGCCTTTTCCTACACTTGATTTGGAATGGCTCTATTGATTCTTTGTACTTAAATGCACTCTGCCAGGCCATGTGTGAATGCTTTGCACATAGTAATTTTTCAATAAATAATGAAGGAAAAAAATTATTGTTGTGCATGCTTGCCAAGGCATGAGTGTGGAATTCAGAGGACAGTTCTATATAGAGTCAGTTTTCTCCTTCCACTTACATGTAGGTTCCAGGGATTGAACTCAGGTCCTCAGGCTTGCATACAGAGTACTCTCTCTGCTGAACATCTCATCAACCCTATCTGTCAATAAGCTTCCTGAGTTCTGTATCTTTGGTCTTGATGCACGAAGAAGATGCCCTCTTTGGTTGGTATATACATTCCCATGTGACTTCAAGTTTGCCCCATAAAACCACCATTTTATACCATTCTACCAGAAGGGCTCTGCTGAGTGGCAAAATCAGCAGCTCATTTCTCCAGCCAAGGTCATCAAAACTAGAACCATTCAGAACACGTGTGCTGCTGAGCTGCTATGACACCTGACCCTAGAGCAGCCAAAGAGCAGGCTGTACACTCTCCCTTTGGTTGAACAGGAACCGGATGAAAGGAATGTGATTCTAGACCAGCCAGACTCTCCTCCTTCAGCAACTCACCAGTTCCTCTGACTGAAGGCAGGGATGCTGGTCAGGCTCTGGTCACTGGCAGGGTAATACTGCGCATACGATGGGCGAGTATAGGGTACTGATGTACGCTTGTCCTCCTCGTAGCTTTTCTTTGCTGCTTTCTTCTCAGCTTTGGTCAGCTTGTGATCCTTTCGGTTGAGGAGCAATGACTCATGCTCAAAAGGCTCCTGGAGACAGGACATTTGGGTTTAATTACTAGTCTTTGTGCAAATACAACTGATGTACAGTGAGTCTTATATGGAACCAAGACGAGGTTGGTTGTTTCCAACACTGGCAAAAAGTCTGCTTATAGGCAAGCAGGTTCTGTCAAGAGTGTAGTTCATGGGCTAGTGAGCTGTACCCTAGTGACCTGAGTTCAATTCCCAGAATACACATACAGGGAGAAAGAGAAAATTGACTCTTATCTCCACATGCATGCCATGGTGGATGCACGAGTTCACACATTTGTATACGCACGCACGCACGCACGCACGCACGCACGCACGCTCTTTTTAAAAATTAAAAAGGGGCTGGAGAAATGACTCTGTGGTTAAGAGTTAAGAGCATATACTAGTCTTGCAGAGGACCCAAGTTTAGTTTCCAGCACCCATGTTGGGTAGCTCACAGCTTCCTGTAACTCCAGCTACGGGAGGATCCAACACCTCTGGGCTACACAGGTACCTGCACTCACATGTACATACCCACAAAGACACACAACTAAAAGTAAAAATAAATCTTAAAAATAAACAATAGAGTTCACAACTAGTATCAGTTTCAAATGCCTAAGTTTATATTCCCTACCAAAAGAATAGAGAGTTCACAGAATTCAACTGCATTCAGAACTTACTTCCTCCTTCTGTTAGGGAGATTCAGTGGTCAGATTGTTGGACAGGGCTGACTAAGCTCAACACTCCAAAGACCAGACAAGGGGTGGAGGTAGTGGGGTCAGCAAAAGATCACTTCAGCCCCATGCATGTGCATGCTCCACTTCAGAAGGAAGCAGGTTTGCCACACAAGCCTTCACTGACGGAGTCTGCCATACCAAGGCTGTCCTGTTCATCAGGTATTTACCTTGGTGATAAGGTGAGGGTACTTCAGACAGGCAAGCTGCAAGACTGACTCCTTGATCCCCTTTATATCCAAAGATGTTTGGGGAGCTGGCTCCTTCTCAACAAAGTGCAGCAGGTTTTCCACTTCCTTCCGGGTAAAGTTCAGCATTGGGTTGAGATCATCCACTACCCGGTCTAGAGGAAAAAGATAAGAACAAAGTCAGCACACACCAGAGAAGACTGAAAACAGAACTGCATAGGTCAGCAGGGAGAAAGTGGCCTGACTGACAATAAGGAAAAGTCTTCCACACAAAAGTCAAAGGACAGGCCAAGGGCCCTGATGAAACGGAAAGAGCATAGAAAACTACTAACTCCTCTTATTAAACTTACTTTCCACAATATGAGGCCAATCTCCTTTAATGATCTGAATTAGAACGATACGGGAGAAACTTCCAGCATTCTGATTCAAAGCCTGTCTGTGTCCCCATGCCCGGCTCCTCCCTTCACTCCCTTGACCCCGTACGGGACGGCAGTTGGCACAGAAGTAGATCTGGAATAGCCTGGAAGATGGTATACCTGACATGCCCTGCTTGGAAATCTGCCGGTCATAGATCTTCTTCTCAAGAGTATAATCAGCCACAAGGCGATAGATGTGACAGGGCTTTTTCTGGCCATAGCGGTACACCCGGCAAACTGCCTGGGCATCATGGCAAGGGTTCCAGGAAGCATCAAAGACCACCACTCGGTTGGCACCAATCAGATTCACACCCAAGCATCCGGCCCTTGAAGACACAAGCAACAACCATAGAGCTCTTAGTCTTAGATGGTTTTCTAGTAAGCTCTGCCCTCTGTGACTCCTACCCCAACACCACTCTTTGTCTCAAGCATTTTGTTGTCCTGATAAACACGATGCTTACTCCTCAAACACTGAAAGTGTGCCCTGAAGTCCAATATAACAGTGTCTATAGCTCTCCATACCCCTGGAAAAGGTAAACCCCTACATATAGCTCCAGAGTGCTGTCCCTTAGTGAGTAGAAATGTCTGTACATAAAATGTTCCCAGTGTTTTTACTTTAATACCTAAGGGGGATGAAAGACTCCTATCTCCTGGGAATGGTGGCACAAGCCTACAATCCCAGTTTATGAGCAGTACAGGCAGAAAGATCAGGAGCCAAGGACCAGCATGGGCTACATGAGACCTCATTTCAGACAAACAAACGAAAAAGAACCCATACACTGTTGAACACTGTTGGTAGAAAGCAAGAGAGCCTTTAAAGTACTTGTCATGAGACAGAAAACATCAGCCTTTTACAGTTATACTACATTTTCAATTTGTTTTTCGTATTGGTTTGTTCTTGTGTTTTGAGGCAGTACTCAGTGATAGAACTCAGGCTGGCTTGAAACTCAAAATCCTCCTACCTCCTGATTGCTGAGATTGGGCACTTTTCACTTTCTAAAGCATTTTTACTTACATTGATATCACATCATCTAATGTAACAAAGCACTCCTTGCCATAAAGCACCCCTGAGAGAAAATCTAATTATGACAATTATTAATGAAGGTCTCAAAGAGCTTTATGACACTATGATGACTACCTTCATAACAACTTTTCCCGGGATCGCCTTTCTGACCTCAAAAAACAAATTAGAAACCTGAGCAGAGCTCTTCTCTGATTTAGATGAAACTCTGCGGTACCTGCCCAGGTGGCAAATTGCAGGAAGACCCCCTGACAGACTCCACTCACCTTGTGGAAAGAAGGAACAACCAGGTGGTGAGGTTGCTGGGATCATTGAACTGATTAATGAGCCGCTCTCTCTCGAAGGCAGGGGTGCTACCATCTAGCCCTAGGAAGAAAGAAAAACAAACCCAAGTGAATAGATAAGGGCAGAGGAACTCAGCAAAGTCACTGCAAAAATATGTGGGCTTTTAAAAGAACATTTATTTAATTTTCAATTGTATATGTTACTATGTCTGTGTGTAGGTATATACATATGAGTGCAGGTGCATGCACAGGCCACATGCATCCGATTCCCTAGGAACTGGAGCTATAGGTATTTGTGACCTACTTAACATAGACACTAGGATCTAAATTCTGGTCTTCTGCAAGAGCAAGCAGTATGAGCTCTTAACCACTGAGCCATCTCTCCAACCCTCCAAACGTTTTTAAAACAAAACAAAACGTCTACCCACTGGGCAAAACATGGGTCTAAGATGGAGCCTGGACATCAGCACTGTAAAAGTAGACTCAAGTAACTCTTACATGTAACATAAAACTATAAAATCCAGTCAGGCAGTGGTGGTGCATGCCTTTAATCCCAGCATTTGGGAGGCAGAAGCAGATAGACCTCTCTGAGTTTGGGGCCATCCTGATCTACACAGAGAAACCCTGTCTTGGGGAGGGGGGGGGGAAATCTATAAAACACATTTTTCTCCTCTAGTGCATTCTAAGGCTAGGGTTTCTAGACTAAAGAGTGCCTTTGACTCACCCATGGAACTTAGAAAAGACTGACTCAAAATGCCCACTCGGCTTCTTTTGGGACTCCTAGTGAGGTAAAGGAGCACCAAGGATTCTGTGTTTTAATACAGACCATGTTCTTCCATCACTCCTCCTCCCTGAGACGGTTTTGGTTTTTTAAACAGTGTCACTGTAGAGTCCAGGCTAGCTCTCACCTCACATCATCTTACCCCAGCCACTAAACGCTGGGTTTATGGCTGTGGGCCACCAGGCCCAGCAGGACACTGTTGCTTTTCTTTTCTTTCTTTTTTTTTTTTTTAAATAAAGCTCTTGATGTTAAGAACTTGCTATTTTAAAAGAAGACCCCAAAGGGTAAGGTGTGGTGATGCACAATGTTTATCCCAGCACTTGGGAAACAAAGGCAGAATGACCCCTAAGAGTTCAAAGCTGACCTAGTCTACATAGTGAGTCCCAGGCCAACCATGGCTACGTAGTGAGACTCTGTCTTTAAAAAAGAAAAAGACTTGAAGCAGTGTCATTAAGAACAAAAAGATCAAAGTTCACACGTGGAAGAAATTATCACCTTCACTTATTCAGCAGCGTAAGTATTGGGGAAAGAACAAGTCAAGGATAGAGATACCAGACAGGGAACTGAATTACTGCTGTTAGAGTTGTTTTCAATCAGGACCCCAACTTACTTTCTACCCTGAGTTTTGTAATACTGAAGCACAGCTCGCCACTGTCTCATTGGACAATCCTATAGAAAACACAAGCTCTGAATCTCCATTTCTCCAAATCATTTTTTTAGGCCAGCGGTTCTCAAAGGGTTATTTCTCCACTCTCCTACCCCCAGGGAACAATCTGGCAATGACTGGAGGCATTTTTAGTTCTCAAAATTGAAGAGGGTAGTGACATCAAGTTGGAAAAAAATACAGCTATTACTGAATATCCTACAACACACGTTAGACACGTATAGCCAAAGTCTAGACCAAATATCAACAGGGTAGGGCCAACATTTCTCAACTTTTATTTTTTTATTACCATTCACTTTTAGACACCTTTTCTCAATCACACCATGTCTTCCATGAAATATTAATATTATAGATAGAATGTAGACATGATTACATGGACCTATAAATTACACATCCCCCCACATACACACTCCCAAACTTGTCATCCCCTTGGGAGTATTTAGCTCCCCTATAGAGAAAGTATGATCTAGGTTCATGCTCACTCTGACTTGGACAGTCATTAGGCCATAGTGGTTCTAAACTTCCGAATTCCTCCCATCTTCTACCTAAGGCTCCTCCAGCCACCCCTACACAGTGACTGTCCTCTTTAGAGCCAGCTTTGAGCCAGCAAGGTCACATGTGTCTTTAATCCTAGCACGGGAGCCATCTCTCCAGCTCTAGCAGTGGTTCTTTCTCAAAAGCAACCCCTCAGCAACTCCCTATTTCTTGGCTAATCACGTATTTCTATAGACTTGAAGAAGAATGGAGTTGGAAAAGAGAAAAAGAGAGAGAGAGAAAGAGGAAGCCCTTAAATAGATCTTGCTAAGACTCCAGAAACAATGAAGCAATAAACTCACGGAAGTAGCTGACATTTCGAACCCACTTCTGGGCTCCCTGCCCCTCGGCCCCAGGTAGACAGGGCACGTCTCGTTTCCCTAGGAACTCCTCGATGAGAGCCAAGGTAGACAGACTCTGGCTGCAAGGGAAAAAGTCATTCAGATGGCTCCCAAACCTCAAGGACCCTTGCTCTTCCACTCATGTGCAACCTTCAAATGGAGTTCCCCCAACCTACTCCCTGTAAGATGAAACTTCACCAAGAACAACCAAGGATATCCTCCCTCAGTCATAATGGGAGCCGTTATCCATATACTTATTACCACCAACCCATAGAAATAAAACAGAAAAACAACCAAGCAATCAAACAAACAAACAAAAGACCGTTTCTCTGATTCCTTAATCTCTCCATTGAAAACTCTGGGGTTTAACTGAATGCTCAGTTACTACTATTTGGTAGTGCAATCCAACACTACACGAGATACAAATGAGTCTAACTGGGCCATAGCCAATCTTAAGCATCTGACTATGGCGATGGATACATTTGACTGTTTTTAAAACATTCAGAGAGCTGGGTTCTTGAAAAGCAGTATGGAAAATCAGGGAACAAGTCTGAAACTGACTGTCACAGGTGGAAGCCCTCACCTGAGGCTCCCAAACCAGGTCCTTGGGGCACAATGTGGTCAGAAACAATCCACTTCATGCCTGTTTCCTTGTATATAGTCAGGTCTTGGTGAGACTCAAAGCCCCAGCCAAACCTAGAGTGTGACCATGGCATAAATCATGCCACTTACTTGGCCTTATATGCAAAACCTTATTTTAAAAAAGAGGGGGAAGGGAGAGAAGGATCAGCAAATGTGCTCTATAGAGGGCAAATCAGCAAACATTTTAGGTTTGTAGACACATACAGTCTTTTCCCTTGTTTGTTCTTTGATTTGTTTTGTTTGAGACAGGGTTTCTCTACATAGCCCTGGTTGTCCTGGAAATCACAGAGATTCACATGCCTCTGTCTCCCAGGTGCAGGGATTAAAAGCCACCACATCCGACTAACCAAAGTACTCTTTAGTCTTTGTATTTTTTCTTATAGACTGAAGTGTAAAAACTAGTCAGGCTTGGTAATCTTCATGGGAGGCTGAAGCAAGAGTAACACAATTCAAGGCCAGCCTAGGCTTCAGAGTAAATTCAAGACCAGCCCAGGGAACTTAGTAAGACTCTGTCTCAGATTTTTAGAAGGAATGCGAGGGGTGGTGGCACGCACCTATAATCCCACCACTCGGCAAAGACTCAGGCACTCAAACCGGCCTGGCTGTATGAGCCCTGTCTCAAAAACCTAAAGAGAGGGACAAGACAGCTGAGCACATAAAGGCACTTGCTGCCACGCCGAATCTCAATGCTAGAGTGCTTGCCTGGTATGCATGAGGTCCTAGGTGCAACTCCTAGCATCACAAATTTAAGGTAAATGAAAAATTTAGGGCTGGAGAGATGGCTCAGTGGTTAAGAGCACTGACTGGTCTTCCAGAGGTCCAGAGGTCCTGAGTTCAATTCCCAGCAACCACATGGTGGCTCACAACCATCTATAATGAGATCTGGTGCCCTCTTCTGGCCTGCAGGGATACATGCAGGCAGAACACCACATAATAAACAAACAAACAAATAAATCTTTTAAAAAAGAAAAATTTAAACATAAATAAATAAAGCAAATACACAAATAAATGTTAAAAAAAAAAAATAAAAACTAGTCCAGTTTGGTCTGGGCCACAGTCTGAAGGACTAGGATATCGAGGATATGATCTCCAATGTTAACAAAAAAAAACCTGGTTTGGGCATTGGGATGCCAGAAAGCCCTACCTCCAAGTGCCTGGTCACAGAGCACTGGGAAAGGCCAGGTGTGGGTATGAAGTTAGATGGTCTCACTGCAGAGGTGCTGCATTCATCCTTCCTACAGACACCAAGCCTCAACTGGGAATCTCTCTTCTTACCTAAACACAAGGATCTTGTCCCCAAGCTTCACACTTTCTTCAATCAGGTGGAAAAGAAGTACCATCTTGGGAGAATTTTCCAAGACTCCAGTCTGGTAATTAGTCAGGAGATCCTTGGCCTGCAAAAGAGAAGATTGGAGCAGGTCCAAGGCTGGATGGTAGAAACAAAATCCCCTCCTCTAGGCGTGGCCCGCTGACCGCCTTCAGCATTCTTGCTCAGGCCCAGCAGTGAGTTCAGTGCCCTGTGCACACCATCCTTTCCCCAGGCTGTCAGCACCGCCCCTCCTCAGAAGGCCCCTCCTCAGAAGGCGTTGATGGTTACAGCTTGACTCACCCATTCATACGTAACTATGTTATTGCCTCGCTCCTGGAAAGGGTTAAAGCCAACTCCCTGGAGGAACTTGCTATTGGTTGCTTCTCCCATTGAGGAAGCCAAGGTGCTATCTTCTCCCTTGACTTTTGTGCCCTGTGATGGGCAACGGGCACTGGTCCCTGCTGAGCCAAGCTCTTCCACATCTAGGTCCTGCTCATTGGCTAGGTTTTCCTTCTGAAGGGCTTCATACAGAACATCAGGATGGTTCCAGATCTGAAGTTAAACAAAGGAAAAGTATAGACCAAAGAACATTCCAAGGGTGTCCTGAGGAGTATGGAAACATGTTCAAACAAACAGCTGCTACAGCTCACATTGCATACTCAAAATTAATGTACCCCCAAATCCTTCAGAGTCAAAGAACTTGCAATTTCACTGCTGGCTCTGATGACCATGACACATGAATGGGAAATGCCAGTGTGTTTGGTGTGTAATGGAAAAGTCTGTGTCATGAGCATTTCATTCTTAACTCAAGCAGGGAAAGAATGTTTTGTTTTTTTTATATGGCTACATTCAGCTACTTTTAAAACAAAATTAATCCCTCCCTATGAAAAACAGATTATCTGACTAATAGATGACCAATCAATGTGATTTCAGGAACAATTCCTAGGAAATGTTGAGAATCCCTGGCAAAGGAGACAGAAGGAAGGCCGCCATAACCATGAGCACCGTCACAGGGGCCCTTCCACTTCTGTCTCTTGGCTCTCATGGGGCAGAGCTGCCAATGCAGCATTCTGAGGGCCGTGTGTCAAGACACTCGCTTATAACCCACACCCAGGGAAGGCGGAAGCCAAGAGCTTAAGGCCAATCAAGACAACACAGCAAGACCCTCTTTCAAAAGACAAGAGAGACAGTTTGAAATCCTATCCATTGCCAGGTATGGTGGCACATACCAGCAGTCCCCACATTCAGGAGGCTGAGGCAGGAGGATGTGAGTTCCAAGACAACCTGGACTATATAATGAGACTCTAAATATGACTGAAGACACACCACCTGACCCCAGAGATGTATTTTCAGCAGACTCACTAAAGTAAGGGGAATCAGAAACAATGCCTAACAGATTTGCCAAGAATATAATCAGAGACACTAAGTCAAAGAAATAGGATCACTACAGGGATGAGAAAGATCTCAATCTATTAAACACAGAGCAGTCAAAGGCACTTTGTATAGCTCCTCTTATGTTCTATTTTTGGAGGCAGTGTCTCCCTGTGTAGCTCAAGCTGTCCCAAATCACTATGCTCCTACTTCAACCTCCTGAATGTAGCATTATGGGCTTAGGCCACCAGGACCAGCCTCAGTCACATAACAGTCAAAAAACCCTCCATCCCACAATAGTCATCCATCACCATTCTTTTCCAAGAGAAAGAGGCAGTAAGAAAGGATGGCCTGTGGAGTTCGGCACCACCAACCATGCAGCAGCCGTGCTCCTAAAGGAAGCACTGGACACACTAAACGAGCAGCACCGCACAAGTTTTGCAGCACACAATCAGCATGTCTCCCTGGGAGGCCCCAAAGGATGCTCCAGGGGTGTGAACAGAGGCAGCCCTTCTCACTTCCTTCTTCCTTCACCAAGGACTCCCACCAGGAGGAACACCCTAGTGGGAATTACGTGTACCCTTAGCTCTGACCCGTCTTCCCGGAGGCCCCCACTCACCTTGCAGCACACACAGAAAGCCTTCAGAGGATTCAGCCCCAACCAGCCACTGCTACCACAGTCCCGGAAACGGTCCATGAATTGTGTGTACAAATCTCGCTGGATCTGAGAAAGCCGCACCAGGATCACATTCTCTTCTTTGGCAGGGAGGTGAATCTTCAACACAGTATGGCCTCTCCTACAGAGGCACAGAGATTAGCAGCAGCCAGGAACTGTGGCCAAGATGGGTCAGGACAGGATACAAACAGGCCTTCACTCTTGCCGCACCATCTTCTAGAAACCTCTCAACGTGCAATGCATCCTTCTGTTAGAGCAGGGCGGTTCAGACAAAGTAACCTGTCCCAAGTCATCACTAACTGAGTATTAAGGCCAAAGGAACTCTAGGTTCATGCCCCAATTCAGGGATGCCTCTCTGACCTTTTTCCACATCTGTCATCCTACAGGAGGAACTGAAGAACTGTTTTAGGCTAGCCTACACTACATCAACTAGGATGCTGAAACTGGTAAAGCAATATCCTAAAATCATATTTATTCTTTTATCAAAGTCAGCAGAATGCTGACTCGTTCTTATTTTTTTTTTTCTTTTAAACAAGTTAAGAGGTAATTTTAGCGACTTTAGGTCACACTGACTTGAGTTTGCTATGTAGCACATGCTGGCCTCAAACTCACCTACCTCATCCTCCTGAGTACTAGGAGACATGTGCCACCATGTTCAGCGATAACTTTTGAGTGAAGTGCTTACAGGCCAAGCTTTCAGAGAACAGAGACAGCACATCCACCATCTGGTAGTTATCCAGTTTTACTGCTGCTCCACTAGGAAAGGCCCTCCAGTGGTAACATTTCCCCCTCATCATCGCTTTGCATGCCCGCCACCCCTCTAAAGACTCGGGGAAACTAGGACTCACCTCTGCACAAAGCCCTCCAGGAGGCTATGCAAAACATGGCTCCGGTAGCGCATGAGGCGGACATCCTGAGGTGTGCTGTCAATACACTGCCCGTTCAGGATAGGGCGTTCAAACATGTTGCTGAACTCCTGACGAGTACCAAGGAAATCTGGGCGCACAAAGTCCACCATGCACCAGTACTCAATGAGGTTGTTCTGTAGAGGGTACCCAGTCAGCACTACCCGCCGACGAGAACGGATGTTCTTCAGAGCCTGTGAGGTGCTGGCTTGGCAATTTTTGATGCGGTGTCCCTCGTCACAAATCACCACATCGGGACCAGGGCGGCATAAGGCCTTCTCAAACTCTAAGGAGGGAAGAGGATCCGGAGTCAGAGGGTGAGAGGGCCTGCTCTTACTCAATAATATGAGAAGGAGGGGAGAACCCTGGAAGAGACAGAAGACATGAAGGAAGCGGGGAAGCAAGAGTCAGCCCCCATTGGTAAAAGGGAAGCAGCTAGACAAGCTCCTATGTGGTTAGTGTGATGCTAACTAACCCGGACACTGCCTCTGGCATGTGTATCTTCTTATCCCCATCTTTTCATTATTTTATGTATTCACTTTAAATTTTTCTTTTTCAAGCTAAAAGTAAAAAGTCCTTGCAATCTTAAGGCTTAAATCAATTGGAGAACAGAGAAGAGGTCACCACAAATTGTGAGCCTAGGATTAAAAATATGTCTGCATGAAATCCATGGAAATAACTCAGACACCACAGTGGGCTCTTGTCATCCAGCATTTTGGGTCCTTCTGAAGGCTGGATGATAGGAGCTAGTTAAGGACAAAGTCTTCTCACAATTATTCACCAGTCACTGCTAAATGGCATATTCACTCCAGCTCTATCTACCACAGAAGCAAACCTAGAACAGACAATCTCACAGAATGAAGACTTATAAAATAAATGGCTTCTAAATCCTTAAAATTTTCAATGGACAAAGGCTCCTTAAAAAAATAGAATGGGCCAGGCGGAGGTCGAGCATGCCTTTAATCCCAGCACTTGGGAGGCAGAGCCAGGCAGATCTCTGTGAGTTCAAGGCCAACCTGGTCTACAGAGCGAGATCCAGGACAGGCACCAAAGCTACACAGAGAAACCCTGTCTTGAAAAACAACAACAAAACAAACAAAAAACAAAAACAACAACAACAACAACAAAAATAGAATGGAAATCCATAGCTCAGTACATCTTTCATCCTCATCAGAGATGCTTCTCTTTATAGAGGGCAATTAACACGGAGACCCACAACAGGTCAACATGCAGAGAATAAGAAACTGTAGTGTGCTCATCCATAAATAGAATGTACACATCACATGTGCTCACGCACGCACGCACGCACGCACGCAAGCACACAGACACACCAGAAATCTTTGTGGAAGAGAGGGTAGAAAGATTTTAAGAGGCAGAGGTGGTGGGTAACTTCAAAGAATCAGTGTTTTCTGGACACAACAGGGCAGCTGGACATAGGGACTCAACAGTTATTTTGACAGCATGCATGCACAAAACCTGAGCAAGTTCAAGCCAGGCAAAAACCCCAGCATAGAGGAGGAAAGTTGGGTGAGAATCCCAACACCAGCTGAGGAGCTATTGGTAGCTATTTGGTAGCTGCTGGGACAGGGAGAGTAGGTTTTCTTTAATGATATCATCTCTGGAGGGTCAACCACACCTACTCCCAAGAGCAACATAAACTGAATTTGAGTTGCTAGGATAGAAAATTCAGTTGATGGGTAGGGAGATGAAGGTGGAAAGGGCAGGTCTGGGAAGAGTTGAAGGAGGGTAAATATGATCAAAATACATTGTATGAAATTCTCAAACAAATTAGCAAAATATTATTTTTTAAGTTTTAATTTTACTAGGTGTATTCATTTTATTTATGTGTGAGTGTTTGTATGTATGCCTATCTGTGTACCATGTGCATACTTGGTGCCTATAGAGGTCAGAAGAGGGCATCTGATCCCCTGGAACCCACCATATGGGTGCTGGGAACATCCTGGGTCCTCTGGAAGAGCAAGTGCTCTTAACCACTGAAACATCTCAACAGCCCAAATCAGCATCATCATCATCATCATCATTTTTATATTAGCTTTAGAGGGTTTTTTGTTTGTTTGTTTTGAGACAGGGTCTCTATGTAGTTCTGGTTGGTCTGGAACTCACTATGTAGAAAGGATGGCCTCAACTCAGAGAGCTGCCTGCGCTCCCTCTCAAGTCTTGGGATTTAAAAATGTAGACCATCATGTCCTGACCTTATATGAACAATATAAACCATCTGTGTTCTCTTAGTACTTTCTTATAACATCTCTATGAAGTGGTAATGGCAGTGGTTACTTTCTCAGCTGTCTTGTAAGTCAAACAGAGACACACAGACAGGGGAGGGTCCTCTGAGGCCAGGTGTGGCTTGCAGAAAACACAGCACTTTCTGAAAGGCACTGGAGGTGGTCCCAGCAGCTTCCTGGATTATAGTAACAATTCACTTCACACCTAACCGGTACTTTTGGCCACTCTTGCCCCTGACATAGCAGAGGAGTGTCTCCAGGATAAGCCACCCACCTCTCCGGAACTCCTGCTGTCGATCTTCTTCATCCAGATCAATAATGACTGGGTGAGAGCGTTTCTTGGTTTTCTTCGGTCTACCTGTGGCAAAGGACTTCTTCAGGGTGAGCAGTCTGTACATTTCATAGCCCATCAGCAGCACGCCACCCTCTGACACCCAATCAGCCGTCACTTTAGCACGAGATGCCACCGTCCTGTAGGAGTGAGGAGAGAGGACTGTGAGCTATGAACTGTCCCATAAAGTTGGCTTTCAGTTTTCAAAAAAAGTCAACAGAAAGAATGTACTGCTGCTTCTGCTGCTACTCAGGAAGAATTCTTTAATCAAAGCGGCACTGACTAACACTTGGAATGCTTTAATGCCAAAGATTTCATTTGCAGCAAGCACAAGTTGGACTAGCTACTCAAGGACTTTCCTAGTATCCCAGAAATACTAATTTATGCTGGATCAATGATGGCGGCTAAACAGTGAGAATCAATAATTCAATGGCAGAAGGCAAAAGAACATGCTAAGCCCATGTGTGTGTGTGTACCTACGATTGCCGGGAACGTTCGAGAGAACATTTTAAGGAATTCCCGTGGTAAGCACAAATCATGGGAAGAAGGGCAACACTGCACACGTCACCTGACCAGGCTCCATGATGAAAACAAAAGCAAACAGTACAGAGGCAAAGGCAATGGAGGACAGAGACCCTTGGCAGGCACTCCACTGGCACACTCGAGTCCTCTCAGTGGTGCACTAACTACAGCTGACCAATAGTTCTGAAATCCAAGAGAGCAGAGCAGGTGACCAACCACTTGCTGGGTCATTTGGAGCCTCCTCATTTTCATGGGTACGACCACATCACAGAAAACAGCCTTTTTAAACCGTCTGTGCCAAGGAGACGAAAGGAAAGCATGGATAGCTGGCTTAAACAAAGAAGTCACTTTAGATTCCTGGAAATCAAGTTAGCTTCAGAAATAGAAATAGTAATTCTATTTAAATATAAAACAAAACCAAAGTGTGTACTTTTCAAAGTTTTGGAAGTTGTACTATGAAAGGTCAACTATCAACCAGTGCTTCAAAGAGTCTGAAGTTCATTGTGTCATGGTGAATGTTACAATAAACACTAGAAAATGTGACTAGGCTGCAGATACTTTATGTCAGAAAAGCATTCTAGAACAAAACAAAGAAAGTTCAAACTTCCCAGGCTATATAACTCTGACTTTACTGAAAAGCTCTTTGTGTGTGTGTGTGTGTGTGTGTGTGTGTGTGTGTGTGTGTGTGTGTGTGTGTGTGTGTTTGAGGTGGGGGGGTGTGGAGGTAAGCAAGAACAGAAAAGTGAAATATCAAGAATCAAAAAGAATGTGGGGCCAGGAGATAGTGTCATATACCTTTAATCCCAGCACTCAATAGGCAGAGGCAGGCAGATCTCTGTGAGTTCAAGGCCAGCCTGGTCTACAGAGCAAGATCCAGGACAGCCAGGACTACACAGAGAAACCCTGTCTCAAAAACAAACAAACAAAATAAGAAGGAGGAGGACATGGGAAGACACCACGAAGTCTAAAAAGGAATGAGACAGAGAAACAGGGTAGGCCACCTACTTGTGCTCATCATTCAAGATATGAACTTTGAAGAACCGCGGCTGGACTTCTTCTGGCTTGCTGTCAGCTGGGAGGGCTTCAGGAGCTGGGAGCCACATGTTGAACTCTGCCAGCCAATTCTGGAGAGTATTAACCTACGACAAGCCCCAAAGAGTTGGCTTTTTTTGTGTATGTACATGAGGAGGTCAGAGGGCAACCTGCAGGAGTCAATCCTCTCCTGCCACTATGTAGATCCTTAGAATTAAACTCAGGTCATCATCACTTTTACCCACTAAACAAAGTGACCCCTTCACCCCCAACACGCACATGCACACGCCCACGCCCACACCCACGCCCAAGTTTTAAGGAATGAGCTCAGAGCTGAACTCAACAAGCATTTTAGTAGCCAGAGATGTTCAGAGGGGCGAGTTAGAGCTCTTACCGGCACAATGGCAAGGACTGTTTTGGCTGGCGTGTGGCGGAAGAGGACATCAATGAAGGAGATCACTTGCAGAGTTTTCCCCAGACCCATGCTATGGGCCAGTATACAGCCAAAGCCACTACTGGTCTTAAACCTTTCTAAAGACTCTACTAGGTTATCATAGAGGAACCGGATCCCACCAATCTGACAAGAGACAAACCAGATAAATGTCAGAAACACTACCAGAGACCAGGGCTATACAGCTTTCCTCACTTGGGACGGTCACTAAAGCAGCACAATGGCTGCTCTGAGTAGACATGGAAGTTGTCCTGTACCCTGACTGGTCTACAGAGTTTCTCTGTCACCTTGGCTGATGACAGCCATCTGGAAGAATACACAAAATAGCATTGACCTTGTCCAATGTCCCATATGAGTTAATGAGTCTTCAATATCAAACTCCTGACAAGAGCTGGCTACTCTGTGCTTGAGGGGGTGCCTCCTCTAGGCAACCCGATAGTTCTTACTGTGGGAAGCCCTGAAACTGAATCAATTTCTCACTTACTTGTACTAGTTCCAGACACTAGAGCAATACAAATTATAATGCTCTCAATTTCCTGACGTCTGACTTTCACATGTCTTCTGAATCTATACCTCCCAAGCTTCTTCTTGCTGATCCAACAGAAGCAAGATGGTGGCCAAGTGACTTTTTTAGTATTTACACCCATTTTATGTATGTGTGCCTGGGTCCATATATGTGCACCATGTGCATACAGAACCCCATGGATGTCAAGAGGCATCAGATCCCTTAGAACAGGAGTTACAGAAGTACTGTGTCAGTGCTGGGAACCAAAGCAGAGTCCTCTGCTAGAGCAGCGTGTGCTCTTAACAGCTGAGCCATCCTTCCAGTGCCTACAGTGATTTCTGCATGACAGGGCAAACCTGAGGCATATCTCTCTCTCTCCCCACTATATTCTTTTTTTTTTTTTTTTAAAGATTTATTTATTATGTATACAGTGCTCTATCTGCACATATGATTATAGGCCAGAAGAGGGCACCAGATCTCATTATAGATGGTTGTGGGCCACCATGTGGTTGCTGGGAATTGAACTCAGGACCTCTGGAAGAGCAGTCAGTGCTCTTAACCGCTGAGCCACCTCTCCAGCCCCCCACCCCCATATTCTTATTCAAAGGAATCTTCAAATATCAAAGCTTTCCAACAGCTACTCTTGGGACCCAACAACTGTTCTCCAGGCTCGAATACTAATAACCAAGAGCAGCAGCAACACTTGCAGCAAGAAAGAGAGTCGGCTCAAGCCTGGCTGTACCTGATGAGGTTTCACAGCCCGTGCCAACTGTGGGGCCAGGAAGACATTCTCCTCCTCTGGAGGGTGATTCAGGTTGACAAGGACCCGCCCAAGAGCATCATGCTGGTTTAAGGCATCGTTCACATGGGTGCCACCCTTCTCCTCTTCCTCGTCCTCCTCGCTGACAGACTCACTGCTGTCCACAATGTGCAGAGCATCCTCCTCTCCAGAACTCAGTTCAATCACCTCTGAGACAGAACAAAGGAAACAAAACCCCAGGAACAGGTACCGCTGGTTGTCAGAGCGAAGGGGCCTGAGCGAAAACGTGTTACCACTCACAAACAATTTTACGGCTTCTCTCTCTCAGGACAAGTTAGGTGAAGGTGACCCAGGTAGGTGTACAAAAGGTAGGCCCGGGCCAAATGAATAAGACCGAGTTTTAGAAAGGATACCCAATCAGGTATGGTGGGACACGTAATCCCAGTACTTGAGAGACAGGAGGATTACTATGAGTTCCAGGCCAGGGTACAGTGTAGGACCTGTAGTGTAAGACCTGTCTCACACTCCTCATAGACGGGAGGGAGGGAGGGAGGGAGGGAGGGAGGGAGGGAGGGAGGCAGCAGGCAAATGTCAAGATGAACACTGGCCAGAAGGAGGTGGACGGGATGCCCTCTGCCCTCTGGCCTGATCTTACCATCTCGACTACTTTTTTCGTCCTCACTGCCACTGCTGCTGTCCAAACAAATGACTTCCTGAGCCAAGACCCGAGGAGGGAGTTGGGGACCATCACTCGCTCGTAAAACAATCTCCTCTAGAGAAGGAAGACGGAAGGAAACACGTTTAGGGCCGCTGAGGTGGTGCAGCAGGTACCCACACGACACAGGGAGAGACCCAAGGTTTCCAAGTTGTCCTCTGGCTGCTCCACATGTGCCAGGATTCACAAATGTGCCTCTATGTGCGCATGCACATGCAAAGATAAAACGCCCCATATTTAGCTCCAACATATTTTCCTGAGTGATGGGTCACCAGTGATCATCCTCCTTTGCTTCTCTAATGGGGAATGGTCATTGAGACTAGAAGCAGAGGAAAGCTTTGAAAAAAAAAAAAAAAATTCCCAGCCTTCTTTCCAAGTTCCCTTCTCTGCTGGGTTTCACACTGTGCCATTTATCCATGTGAAAACTAATCCTCATCTCTTGGCATGCTAAAATCTAAAGCTATCGGGAAAACAAGAAGCCTCCGTAAAATTATTCAAGTATATTTTAATCTATTTCCACTTCCTAAATGACAGCTCTTCTGACTGTGTACTCTCAACAGGTCTTCAGAACTCCTGAGACCACAACCCAGATCTGTCTGGCCACTCTGCAAGCGAGGCCTTCTCTCCTAGAACACTCGGTCATTTCCAACACGAAGCGTGCTTACCAGGCAGGAACTCCAAAGGGACAGTGGGAATCGGGGCTGCGTACTCTTTCCTCTGCTGCTCCAGACGCTTTCTTCTCTCCAGCTCCTCCTGCTGTGCTGCTTTGGTAACGGGCTCCAACTGATCCTCCCGGAGTAGCTTTCTAAACATTCAAAGGAGACAACCCTTGGCTTACCTTAAGATTTGGGCAATGTAACAGCAAACTAAAGAAGGAAGTCACCATTGCTGAAATCACCATTGTGATTTCCCTTCAAATCAGAGAACTGGGAAAAGGGAGGAAAAGCCTCACCTATGCAACTTACACAGGGATAAGGTTAGGGTCTTTCTAAAGACGAGGGAGTGTGGTGGTATTGTGTTCCCCAAAATATTGTGTACCTTAATAAACTTATCTGGGGTCAGAGAACAGAAAAGCCACTAGTTAGGCAGTGATAGCACACGCCTTTAATCCTAGCATTCCAGAGGCAGAAATCCATCTGGGATCTCTGAGTTCAAAGTCACATTGGAAACAGCCAGGCATGGTGACTCACGCCTTTAATCCCAGAAAGCCAGCCTTTAATCCTAGGGAGCGGTGGTAGAAAGCAGAAAGGTATATAAGGCGTGAGAACCAGAAACTAGAAGCATTTGGCTGGTTAAGCATTCAGGCTTTGGAACAGCAGTTCAGCTGAGAGCCATTGGGATGAGGACACAGAAGCTTCCAGTCTGAGGAAACAGGACCAGCTGAGGATTTGGCAAGGTGAGATAGCTGTGGCTTGTTCTGTCTCTCTGATCTACCAGCATTGACCACAATAACTCACCTCAGGTTTGATTTTATTAATCAGAACTTTTAAGATTCCTGCTACGAGGGTGGGCAGGGTGGGTGCCAGAGGCACTTCAAGCAAATGGTCCTGACTACTGATCGTTACTTGTTATATGACTTCCTCACAGACACCTGCCAGTCAGACCCTGCATACAAAGACCAGGAGGAAAGGACTGGGGAGCTGTCTCAAGGGGAAGAGCACTTGCTGAGCCAACACAGTGAGGACCAAGTGAGGACCCCAGCACCACCAAACAGCAGGGTCTGGCCATATGCAGAGAAGGCACACGCCATACAGGAAGCTGGGGCAGGACAAAGACAGGACCCTTGGGCTTGCTGGGCAACAATTGTCTGGTTTTTCTCCTGTGCTGCTTGAAAAACATTGACCTCCAGGTTCAGTGAGAGACTCTGTCTCAAGGGTATAACGTAGAGAGCAACAGAGGAAGACACTGAACATCCTTCTCTGGCCTCCATACACACCCTCACACACAGGTACACACACAGATAAATGAAAAATAAAAGACCAAGGATAATATAAAATAGTATGGTTTACAAAGTTGAACCAGTATTAAAAATAAAGTTGTGCCAGCGATGGTAGCACATGCCTTTAATTCCAGCACTCAGGAGGCAGATGTCTGCGAGGTGCCAATCTGGCCCACAATAGGGTTACATAGAGAAGACTCTGTGTGTGTGTGTGTGTGTGTGTGTGTGTGTGTGTGTGTGTGTGTATGCTCGCGTGCTGTTGGGGGAGGAAGAGACAGTCCAGTAGTTAGGAGAGCTTGCTCTGCGAGCATAAAGACTTGAGTTCAAGGCTAGGCAGTGATGGCACATGTCTTTAATCCCAGCATTCAGGAGGCAGAGGCAGGTGGATCTCTGTGAGTCAGCCTGGTCTATAAAGTGAGTTCCTGGACAGCCAGGGCTGTTACACAGAGAAATCCTATCTCAAAAAACAAGACAAACAAACAAACAAAAAAGACTTGAGTTCAAATTTTCAGCACTCATGTAAAAAACCTGGTATGGCTGAAGATGCTTTTAATTCTACTTTTGGGAGGGGGGGGGGTGTTGACAGGATAATCCCAAGAGCTTCTGGACAAAATGAACTTCCAATACAGTGAAAAACCCTGTCTCAAGGCAATAAGGTGGAAAGCAATAGAGGAAAATCCTCTGATGTCCTGCTGTGGCCTCCACACATTCAAGTGCATGCACTGTGCCATAAACACACAACACATGGGTATGAGTGCACACACATACACGCGCACAAAAATTTAAAGTTGTTAGGCAGACAAATGGGTTAATGGGGGTTCTGTATCATTATTTCCTGAGCTTAGAGTAATACTTTCAAGTTTCCATTATGTGTTTTGAAAACTGTGGGGAAACAGCAGGCATGATGGTTCACACTTGTAATTCTAGCACTTGACAGGCTGCTGTACAAAGATTACCAAAAGTTCAAAGCTAAGGCTACACAGTCAGGGCAGCCTGAGCTACTGGGTTAGAACCTGTCTCAAACGAACAAATGAAGAACAAAAAACTGTAACAAAGGCAGGGGGATGCTATTTATCTCCTTTAGTAGAACAAGTTGTTATTTGGCAGAAGGAAGGGTGTTGAAGATTCGGATAGTTAGGAAAGTTCATGTTTGGTTCTCTTTTAGGTCAAGGAAGAAGCCTCACTCTTGGTCAGTCCTCTACCATCTGAACTTGAATTCTAAGAAGACAATAGCTCACTTCTGCTGAGAGTTTTATGTTGTTGCTGTCTGTTTATTGATCTGTTTTAAACTTCATGTTTTGAGACCCAGGAAACATAAAGAAAGAAAAGTCCACTCAGATGATCCTACCATCAATGAGCTGCCCCCCAAGTCCTCTCAATGGTCAAAGCCCCTACATTCTGTACAGTTCAACACAGTGGGTCCAAACTTCACCTTCATTACTGGGTTTTTGTGGTAGTGGTTGTTTGGAGACAGTGTCTCCTTACGTGACCTATGCTGGTCTAGAACTCACAGTTCTCTTACTGGTATTACAGGCACGTTGCCACATTTGCCTGTAATATGCCATCTTTACTGTTAATGAGGGTTCATAGTTGGACACTTTTCTCTACCGGAAACTCTAAGAGGACATTCTTGCCCAAATTAGTTTTTCTGCTATTTCTGGTCTACTCCCTCCAATTCTCCTTACCCAGAACACAGCTCACCGTATGTTTCTTCGCATATGAGAGGGCTTCTGAGCTCTCTTCTTTTTGGGGTCATCGGATGCTAGGATCTTGCCTTGGTGCCTAAGCTGCTCTGAAGGCTCAGACTGAGATGAGGTAGTTGAAGTGCACCGCGGCGGCCGCTGCCCATCTTCCCCCAACTGGGCATGCTCAGTGCCACACATGCCTTCCAGGGACGGGTCTGGAAAAAAAAAATGGGAGGAAGAAACGATTTACTGGGGGTGAAGGTGGAGGAAGAGTGGGTAGATTTTGATGTCAGACATCCCCAGGTTCCAATTTCAACCCAGCAATGTATTAGATGATAACCCAAGGCAATATCTCTCTGAATGTCTATAGATATACCTATAAAAAGAAGACAGTGATACTCATACTCAGGACTATATGAGGATTAGATACTGTGTGCACCTAGATCTAATCCTGACCAGGGCACATAACAAATGAAAACAATTCACTAACAATATAATAGGAGTTAGGAGACTTCCTGGCCTGAGACTACTCCGAGTGCTGGATGTGGTAGTAGTGCATGCCTGTAATCCCAGAATTTGAGAGTTTGAGGCAACTCATACTTATTACTCTTTCAGTGCTTGGAGTAGTGACTTGCTCAACTTGTCAGACATTTAGTGAGGATTGGCAAGCTCTGCACTAGATGTATAGAGATAGTTTTAGGACTCTTTCTCTTCAAAGGATATTGTGTTCTATTAAGAGATGGCTCATGTATACTGAGACACAACACACATCAATATGTATCGAATATTAAAGAAGGGATAAGTCACCGTGTGTGCTAAGAACTGAACTACGTTCAATGTAAGAACAGCAAGTGTTCTCTCCATCCCTGAAATAAGTTGTGCTTTGTTTTGTTTTAAAAGACTCTTATGTGGGCGGTTTCTCAGACTGATTCTTGACCTCCTGCTGATAGTAATGGAAACAAAATGGAAATAGTTTACAGAGGAGAACTGTGTCAATCTGGCCTGTTATTCTACATAGAACAGTTTAGGATGCTGGATTTATGTGATTTATGTGGATCTATGTGTCCCTTCATGCTTGGAACTGTGTCCTTGGACCTATGACATTGTATCTCAAAGTAAACCAGTTTCCCATCTTAAATCTTAACAATAAACAGAATTATCTCAGAGGAGGAATGCAGTCAAAGGAGAACACCAAGCTTTTAGCTGCTCTCCCAAATCTGTCCTCTATTTCAAAGAGCACAGGAGAGAAAGGCCAGGCTATTGTTTGCCTCTAAAAGAACTATCTTTCAGATGGGCATAGTGGTGCATAACTTTAATCCTAATACTCATGAGGCAGAGGCAGGCAAATCTCTGAGTTCAAAGCCAGCCTGGTCTACATTGTGAATTCCAGGAAAGCCAGAGCTACAAAGAGAGACACTGTCAAAAAAAAAAAAAAAAAAGAAAGAAAGAAAAAAGAAAGAAAGAAAAAGAAAAGAAAAAACAAACCTAACAAACAAAAGAACTTTCAGCACCCTTCCTCTCAAAGACAGATGCACAGCATTTTCACATCTGTCCAACTTGCAGCCCTAAATTCTTATCTCCTAAAAGAGAGAGCTATCAATCCTGCCTATCCCCACCCCCAAATTAAACAGCTGCTTAGATAGCAGATCCCCTAGGAGGAGGGCAACCCCTGCCAAGAGAGCACCTACAGAGGCGATTTATTGGGGGTAGAGCAGACAGATGGAAAGAGCTTGGCCTACTAGCCTTGCAGCTGAGCCGAGACACTTCGTTTTTGTTTTTGTTTTTTTTTTTTGAGACAGGGTTTCTCTGTGTAGCTTTGTGCCTTTCCTGGAACTCACTTGGTAGCCCAGGCTGGCCTCGAACTCACAGAGATCCGCCTGCCTCTGCCTCCCCAGTGCTGGGATTAAAGGCGTGCGCCACCACCGCCCGGCTTCAACTTGTGTTTTTGCTAGTTCTCTGGCCTCCTTGTACAATGGCCTTGTTGTTTTCTGGCTGAGCTATACCCCAAGCCTGGTTAATGACCTTTGGTGCTCTTCAAATCTTACTGTTTTGTTTCTATTTCACAAGCAAATTTATTGAGTAACTACTTGGAGGAACAGTTGGAAGCAAGGTTAAAAAGTAGGCAGACAGGACAGAGTCAGCACAGAGGGCAGGTCTGTAAGGCCAAGCCCAGGGGCTGAAATTGATCTGCTTGCTGGGCAGTGAGAACTTGCTGCCAACTGTTGTTATTTCCTTGTTCTAGCCGCATGCTTCTACTAGGGTGGGCTGTTCTGGGAGGAGAGAGCACAAACTGCTAGTCTTTCTGAATCACAAACAAATTTACTATCAAATATCCATTCCAAGTTATGAAGCCTATTACTACTGTCCAGCAGGGGGCTGAGTGTAATAGCAATTTTAAAAAGATCAGTCAGTTGTGGGAGACCTATAGTCAAACAAGAAGGTAAAGAGCTCCACATTCTGTCACATAACAAATGTATATGCATAGCTTAAAAGTCAATGGCTATTACCACCCTGGCAAATCATAGGTTCAGACCTAGGCACAAATACCCCTGAACTTTCTCCTTCACCTGAATTCCCTTGAACTTTCTATGAGTAGCAATCACAAGTTATATAAACAAAGAACACTTGCATAAGCTTCTTGGGAATGAGTTATAAATACCACCACCACAAATTTCACTGGTAAACCTATGCAGAACAGGACACACCACACTTCATTCGGGGAGTGCACAAATCCATATACTTCCAGGGCCCACCCTTCAGCTAACCTGCTTCTCCTTCTGCACTAGAGAGGTCAGTGGCCTCTAAGAGGCAGCATGTTTCTGCTAATGTCCTGTGGTAAAATGCATACACCAGGGCCTGGTGTGGGAGCACACACTATGTAATACCAGCACTTGAAAGCTGAGGCAAGATGATGACAGAGAAAGTGAAGACATCCTGGGCTACACAGATACTTCCTCAAGAAACAAACAAATAAAAATTATGCATACACCACAATCTATGAGCTATGTGCACCAAAAATTTTATACCCTAATCTCAACACAACTTAGATTTCATTCAGTGCTTACAAAAATCATAAAAGACAAAGAACTAAGTTAAACAAGACCACATGGGTACAATCGGTGAAATCTAGAATATGTAAAACTATAGAGTCAGTAAATCCTTTTCCTCTAGAAATACACTGTGAGGAAAAATATTTAAAGGGAGGTAAAATCAATAAAGAGATGTAAAAGGTACGTCAACCATATGTAGTCCTTGTAGAAATATGGATAAATTAACATTAAAATAAAATTTAAAGATAACTGAGGATTATATAAATATTTCATAATGTAAGGAACTACAACTTGGTATTCATTTTACTTTGAACTACTGTACATGTGTGTATCTGTATGAGGGTATGCTACATTCGTGTGGGCGCCTGCAGGAGGAAGCTAAGTGTCAGTTCCCCTAGCGCAGGAAGTGCAGGCAGTTGTAAGTCACCTGATGTGGGTGCTGGGAACAAACCCAGGTCCCCTGAAAGAGAGTTACTAAGGCATCTCCGGAGCCCCCAGGAGCTACAATTAAAAAAAAAAAAAAAAAAGATTTGAAAGCTAGGAATAGTGGTTCATGCCTGTCATCCCAGCAGTGGAAGGCAGATGCAGGAGGCTTGCATGGCACCATATCTGAGGCCAATCTGGTCCACATGATGAATTCTATAGCCAGCCCTTGTCAAAGGAGGGGGAAAAGTTATAATGTTAAGGATGGAAGATTTGAAGATAAATGCCGGAGTGGCTGGCTACTCAAAAAGATGGAAGCAGAGTTCTTCTTATCACTATGTTTACTGTCGATCCTTCCAAATTCCATAATTTAAAAAATAATTTATTTTTAAATTTGATCTATCGATTTCATTTAACTTTTGCAGTGCCAACAGTTGAGCCTACAACTTTAGGCACGCCAGACAAGTGCTCTGTTGCTTACCTATAAGCAGGTGTTGATTATAAAGTCTTAAGAAAAGATAAAATTAAATGATCACTAACTTCAAACAACTTATGTGTCAATTTCCCTACAATTGCTAATACATTTGCATATTTCATATAGTAATTAATGAGTATACACTTTTTTGTGTTGGGTTGGCTGCCTGATGCACATAAGCATTTTTTGTTTTGTTTTGTTTTTCAAGACAGGGTTAACAGCCCTGGCTGACCTAGAACTCGCTCTGTAGATCAAGCTGGCCTCAAACTCACAGAGACCTGCCTGCCTCTGCCTCCTGAGTACTGGGATTAAAGGTGTTCACCACCACACCTGGTAATATTTCTTTTTAAATTTTAAGTGCACAAGCATGTATGCATCTGTGGAGGTCAGAGGACAACTTGTGGGAGTTGGCTCTCTCCTTCCAACACATGGGATCTGGAATCAAACTTGGCTGTCAAGCTTGACAGTAAGCACACTCGCACTGAGCACAGATAAAGATTTCACTGACAGAGAGCACACAGTTGCCATTTGCATGGCACGCTATAAAATCACAGAATGGCATTTTCCTGCTGCTGGGCATGTTCTAACTTTCCACTTGCATCTACAGTAGTCTGAGTGTCTTTATATTCTTTCCCTTCTCCATCTGTTTATTTCTACCCCAGTCCATTGTCACTGAGTAATCAGCAGTGCTTTAATGTTCAGGGATCTGCAAATATTTTCAGTAGTTAATCAGTGACTATTTTAGGTTCTACGAGTAATAAGGTCTCTTATTAATAAGTTAAGTACAGATACTTAACTTTATCATTGCATCTCAAAAAAAAACCCCATATAAACAAATAAAGAGAAATATTCCAATAAAACTTTAAAAATTAAGCACAAACATTTGTAAAAGGGGCAAAGTTGGAGACTCATGCTTTCTGATTTCAAACCTTAGTACAAAGACGCAATAGCCATACCATGAGGTGCGAGAATAAAGCATACATGTAGACCGGTGAAATAAAAAGTAAAATAACCTATCACAAGACGTGACCAAGTTGTTTTACAGAAGCTTCAAGAGTATTCAATGAGAAAATGGCAGTCATTCAATTATTAATGCTGAGAAATCCACATGCAGAAGAAAGAAGCTGAATGTTTAACAAAGAAAGACCTCAACAAAAGCTGAGTCAAACCGGGCAGTGGTGGCGCACGCCTTTAATCCCAGCACTCGGGAGGCAGAGACAAGTAGACCTCTGTGAGTTCAAGGCCAGCCTGGTCTACAGAGTGGGTT